AACATTGAGGCCAGAGGGGTCACCCCTCTGGTACAGTGGAGAGGGGGTTACGTTACACCCCACCCCCTCCCAACACTCCCGGTAACCCCACCACTCGGTTACCTGGGACGGTGATAATGACACCATTCACCCAGCCGACACCTCCCACCACACGAGGTTATCCAAGCCAGAGTTCCTGCCAGCAGAGCACAGCTGTCCAGATGTCAACGTACCATGGTGGGCCCCAGTCTTGCAGTTCATCATCAGAGGCACCCACCTGCCTGCTGCGACACACCGTGCAGGCACACCGGAAGTGGAGGCGCGAGGTCAACAAGCGGGTATGCCAGCAGCAGTCACCTACCAGTTCCCCCTCGACCTTGGGGATGCCACATCACTGACTCCACCAAGATGCGCAACGAGGCGGTCACATTCCAACGGCACCTCCCTACTGAGTGTGCTTGACTCGCCAATAGGGTGCACGTTTCGCACCATCGGCCCAAGGTCAGGCACATTAGGGCATGCGCGATAAGGCGTACCGGCTCAGTAGAATGTGACACAAGCAACGCCTGTGTAGTGATGGGCCCCAGGAGCTGAAGTCGGGATCCACCTGGCCTGCCGCCACGCCACCCACGCCCCAACACCTGCACCTGCTTACTTCTGTTGCAAGACATCGTCGACGTCACACTCTCTGCCCTGCTGTCACGACTCCTGCTATGTAGCTGCTGTCACTCATCATCGACCGTCAGCTTCAAGCAACTGGAGGTGAGATGTGCCTCCATACATCTCTCCTAACACCGTTCACTTGTGACCGGCCAAGTCCCCGGCCGCTGTCACTTGCCGCTGCTCTTCACACCACCACCTTCGAGCAGTTTGATAGCTTGACGAGGAGTCTGTCACCAGTAGACTCGCTCTGTCACCAGACGTACCCCCAGAGCTGTTACAAGAAGATCTTAGGGTATATGCAGGCATCATCGACGGGCAGACGCTGGACCAACATCAGGTCTTCTACATCAGGTCTCCAACATCATCACGTCACCAACATCACGTCTCCAACATCACGTCACCAACATCAGGTCTCCAACATCGCCACCAACATCGGGTCTCCAACATCAGTCCACCTCGCGAGAGTATAACGGATGCACGATAGAAAACGCGTATATAAACACGAACATTAATGTGTCAAGATTTACGAATGATGGTTCAGAGAAATGACTATTATTAACGGTGTCAAATAGTTTTGTCTAATCGGGTTATAAGTGTTACATTTATGGGGATGTAAAGTAACTAGGCCTAGAAAAAGTGGTCCTAGACAGTGTTCTTAGCTAGATGACTTCGGTCTCTAGCACAAACTTTATCTTGGAATTTATTACTATTTTATTTCATGCATGTGTCTATGAGATAAGTCTGTCCTGGTGATGAGTGTCCAGGTTCCCTATTTGTTACCAGTGTATGGGTACATATTTTTTTTTTTATATTTGCATGTCTTTTTATTTCATTAAAATGTGGTAATGTTAAGTAATATTTCTGTTGTGGTAAGAGGTAGTCTTACTATCAGTGTGTGCAGGGTGCATGGAGATTGACCCTGGCACTATTGTCTTGTGCGGTATATGGATTGGCCCACAAGTATTCTGTTAACGTACGGTTCTATTGATGAGTCTTCATGTCTATTGTTGTATTTTTACCATGTTTTATAACTTGTATAACTCATACGTTTGGCTGTGGGTCATGAGGTACCCAGCAGATGTTTGGGGTATGCCCACTTAGGTATAATGTTTCCTGTTATTTTTAATTAGTTAGATTTAAATGTTAGAGTAGGAATATTACATATATATATATTTTTTTTTCATGTTGCTGATCATTTTTTTTGTATGTTTTGTTCTTTAGACCTTCTGAGGAAGGCTTGCTAGCCTGTCAAGTGTGCAGGCAGGATATGTCATTGTTTCATAGTATTCGTTATTGCCATGTATTGTCACTCAGGGTTGTATTATGTAGCCTTGTGTTATTCCTTGTATTTTGACATTATATTATCTTTAGTTACTTGTAATTTTCCTGTTCCATTAGGAATTTTTTTTTTTATGTCATGCTAGTTTTAAGGCGATTTTTTGTTTTGGTCTTCCAGCCTTCTGAGGGAGCCTTGCTGGACTGCCTTGGTGCAGTCGGGATTTGTTTTTTTCATTGATACTTTATTGTCATATTAGGATATCGGAATCGTATCATGTGTGACGGTATCATTGCTTGTACTTTTGCCAAGGTATTTTTTTTGTACTTTTGTTTCTTTCATTATACATTTATGTTTTGTTCTTACTGCAGTATAACTGTATAATGTACTTTGCTTCATGTTAATTTAGTTAGCTTACTTTTATCATTATGTCACTGGCAATTTTTTTTTCTTTTTAGGGTTAGTTGTAGTATTTTGGATGAGTTAGGATAAGACAAAATTGGGCTTAATTATCATACACCCGATTTTGTCTTAACTCCGGGGAAAGGGAGCTGTAACACCCAGGACCCCCCCCCCCCCTTAGAGTTCACACCCAGGGAAGCCTTCTCCAAGAGGTCAGCCCAGATGACCTCCGGTTTATCTTGTATATTGATTAAAAATTCCTGGGTTAGTCTTAGTCAGCATAGTTTCAAGTATGTAATATTTCATGCAAGGAAATTAGACTCCAGATTCTTATGTGTAAACATCCCTGGATCTCCCCCTTTTGGCCAGGTCAGAGGTCAGTCACACATGTAATTAATAACTCCTCTCTTGAAGAGTGTATGGTGAATGTCAAACAAGCTTTTTGAAATATTTCTTGAGTGTTTGTACACTTTTGGTGGGTAGCAACAGCAGATCTCCCCCTCCCCCTGTGGGGGTTGTATATAGAGGGCCTGTAGGAACATAGGAGAGGCAGAGGGCGGTACACCGGGATCGAGAGCGGGGCTGTGAAGAACATCTCAGCCAGGGAGAGACAGATAGCTTAAGGTAATGTGTGTGATCTCTGAGTTTTTGTTCCATGTCCAAATTTCTTAACTTTTTGCCAGTGTTAGTGTAGCATTTATAAGTGGTGATTGACATAATTTTGGTCTCAATAAACTCGTTAAATTTCCCGTCTGTGTCAATTGTTGAATCCTCTTAGCCTTTTGGATATAGTGGCTGACAACCGTTTTTATAATTAATGACAGTCATAGAAAGTACTCTCCAAGTCAAGCAATGTTTCTTGCCTCGTTGCTTGATATAGTTTCAATGGTCAAAGGCAGATGGTGGCAGCGTATTTAATCCTGTGTTAGCATTTCCTTATTGGCAGTGTACCTTTGGTTCCGGTGTAACCATCATATGTCAGCCCATAACAGTGTTACCAAGTGCAACCAATGGGGAAGTGTTACTCAGGATAGTTTAGTGTTCCATTATAGTGGTGTTCCATTATAGTGGTACATTTTAGGGTGGTGTTACAATAGAGTGGTGTTACACTTTTCACCGTCTTGATGCTTTGCACCATACTGGGTTGCGCCTCAGTTCTGGTGCCTTTCGTTCGACTCCCTTCCTTAGCTTGTATGTTGACACTGGCTTCCTGTCTCTCCAGGACTGCCGTGATCACTACTGTCTTCGCTATGTTGTGCGGTCCTTACAACATCCTTCCTCTCGCCTCTGTCGTGCATTAACTTTTACCCCTCCTGCAGTTCCTGTTCCTCTTCACCACCTCCCTCTTTTGGCCGATTATCTCACTTACAGGATTCTCTTTCCGTTCGTGTTTCTAATGTTTCTCCTCGTGTTATTTCTTTGCCCCCGTGGAGAGTCCCCCCCTTCCGCAGTTTTGTACATCCTTGACTTGCATCACTAAAGCTTTTACCCCTCCTACGGTTCTAAAACGCCTTTTCCTTGAGCACTTTTCTTCTCACTCCCGCTCCGTTTCTGTCTTCACCGATGGGTCTAAGTCTGCGGACGGTGTTGGCTACTCTGTTGATTTTCCTGATCGCACTTATGTGTCGCTTTCCTCCGGAGACTAGCATCGTTACAGCGGAGCTTTATGCTATTCCCTATGCTCTTCGTCTCCTGCTTTCTCGTTGTCAGTCTTCCTTTGTAGTTGTTGTTGACTCGCGTAGTGCCCTCATGGCTCTCGAGTCCTTTAATCCGATTCATCCAGTAGTTGTCGAGATCCAGCATTGGCTGTTTCTTGTTCACAGTAAATTTAAGTCGGTTGAGTTTTGTTGAGTTTCCAGCCATATTGGTGTGTCTTTCAATGAGCGTGCAGATGCTGCCGCCAAGGAAGCTGTCTGCTCTTGTCTTATCTCTCGTAAAGGTATTCCATATTCCGACTTTTACCCGGTTATCCATTCCTCCATCCTGACCCGTTGGCAGGCTTCTTAGTCGTCTGTTACTGGTAACAAACTACGTACTCTTAAATGTTGTGTTTCCTCGTGGCTGTCCTCCTACCACCGTAACCGGCGATGAGAAACAGCTCTGGCGAGGTTGCGTATTGGCCATACTCACTTAACCCATGGTCACTTGATGGAGCGCCGCCCTGCTCCTTATTGTCCTAATTGCATTGTCCCTCTTACGGTCGTGCATGTCCTTCTTGAATGTCCTGACTTCTAGGACGAGCGTGTGTCTTGCTTTCCGACTGCCCCTCACGGTCGCCTGTCCCTCAATAGAATTCTTGGTGACTCGGATACTTTTGATATCGTTTGCCTTGTGCGTTTTTGTTCTTGTATTGGCATCCTTGGTGATATTTAGCGCCCTCTGATTATTCCGCACATTTGATGGTGCTACATAGCCTTCCCGGTTTGGTGCCTTCTTTTGATAATTACTTACTTCGTGATCCTTGAAGTCGTCAAACCTGGGTAGCCGAGGTGAGTGCAGGTAGGAATATTATGCCTCCAGCACCTGCGCCCCGTTGCTGGCATGGTAAGTATAGCCATTGGCTTCCATCTCAGTGGCCAGGTTCCAGCCATTGAGAAGTCTTGATATATGTAGAGCTACCTGTATGTTGGTCCGTTTTCATGCCCTAGTTTTACCATGCATTTTCTTTCTTTCCTCACAGCGAGGGTGGGCCAGGAGAGATGTCTGGAGGTGGGGTGTGTGTGGGCGCCCCAGGGCGACGCTCCTAGCTGCTACTTCCCTCCGCCCTCCTCCCATGGCTATGAGATCAAGACCTCCCCGGTGAACCCTTCTGTGGGAGTGACTAGCCTAAGGGTGGCGCTGAAGGATACCTCAGCACGCGTGGTACAGGCTATGAAGGAGGAGCTGCTAGTGGAGATGACAGAGTATGGGCAGGATGTGTTTAGGATCAAGGTGAGTGTCCGAGTGAGGGAGGGAGGAAGGGAGGAGGGTAGGTAAGTAGGAGAGAGAGAGAGAGAGAGAGAGGGGGGAGGGGGGGGGAGGTAGAGAAAGAGGGAGGGAGGTAAAGATATTGACGGCAGCAGGACCTCTCGCATTGTTAGCAACTCGGTAGGTAATGATAGGTGGGAATTTACCCTCCCTAATGCTCTAGAGGGAACTAGACACAAGACACCAGCACCAAAAATTCGTCTGTAGGACCTTCAACAACGTGTGACGTTGACAACATCTGCCGTCACACAACCTGAGGTAACACTTGGAGGAGACATCCCAAATGCTGCACACAATGTTATATCTTCTCTTGCCAACTCTGAGTCACATTCTCATAATTACAATTGAAGATAAAGTGTCCACTGCTCATGTACAAGAGCCAAGTCAGAACTCTGCCAGCTGGAGCATAATTGAAGGTGTGAACACAAGCGTGGTCACCCTAATCAACATTCTCCGCCTCCTAAGGGGGCTTATTACGGGCTACGTAATCTTGTTCAATTGCATTTATAAATTCATTTATGAAAAATTATAGAATGGGCTGCAACTGATCCAAGGGGGTTTCAGCATCACACCCTTTGAAAAAACGCCGTATTATGCAACGAATTTTCAACATTTTCAAATTGTTTCAGGGAACACATGTGTTAATCTTTCTTCATATGAAAGATTTCTAATTTGGGGAATTAACTTTGTCATCCTACGCTGGACACGTTCAATTGAATTTATATCCATTCTATAGTACGGCGACCAAAACTGAACTGCATTTAAATGGGGTCTAACCAGAGCAGACTTAGTTGAAGGAGCACAAGGTGTCTTGTTAATCGCTTCGATTAATAAATCCCAGTATCCTATTTGCCTTATTACGAACATTCCATTGAATCTTTTGTTTTAAATTCTTACTTATCTTAACTGCCAGATCCCTTTCGTACTTCGCAATCTACACTATCTATCTCGTGCATGTGCCTAAGCCTTCTGATCAACCATGGTTTAGCTATCAAAATCATTGAGACCAAAAGTAAAACATGGAGAAGATATAAAAATAATCTTCTGCTCACAAACTGACCATTCATTAACGACCTTGAAGGGGGATGAAGAGGATGAGGGTGGGGGGGGGGTGGCCTTAGAAGTGGGCTACGTCTAGGTGGTAATAAAAAAAAAACGGCATCAGGAAGAGTTGGACTCAGGCTGGTGGTCTTTAGTTAAGGATTGGCAGGGACAGGTATTTGGTATTCATCCTGAGACACAATTCAGTCACTAAAGAAGGCAATTGGAATTGTTGCAATCGACAATTGAGAAACGACTGACCTACTGACAAACCTTTTTACTGACAAGAAGCAAGTTCCTGATCTTGAATAACAGCCTCCACAGTTTGATCCAAGCATTATGAAAGACTCGTCTGAAGTTGTCATTCAAGAGTTGAGGTCCATCATCTTGTTAATTAAAACACTTAGCGTAGGCAAGGCGGTGGGGCCGGATAAGGTCAGTCTAAAGATTTAGTTTGGCGGACGCGCTTCCTCGACTCAGCCACTCTGCCTACCTCAAGGAATTTGGCCCCTAATGGAAGACGGTGGATCTTTTCCCGGTACACGGAAAAGAGTCGTCATTCGGTTGGTCGGCTAATGTCACTGTTTTCAATTACTGGAAAAATTCTTAAGATATTAATCTCTTGGCAAATTAAATAATTTTTTAACCATTGCCTGTTACTCTGCACGAGGTTGAGAGAGGGGGGGGGGGAGAGAGAGAGAGAGGGGGGGAGAGAGAGAGGTAGAGAGAGAGAGAGAGAGAGAGGGAGAGAGAGGGAGAGAGGGAGGGATGTAGTAATGAGTGGAAGGAGGCGGAGGAATTGAGGAGACAGGACATAGAGATAGAAAGGAAATGACTCTGTTTTTGGCAGTCGTACAGTCATGGCCAAGGCTGAGTTAACACACAACACACACACACACACACACACACACACACACACACACACACACACACACACACACACACACACACACACACACACACACACACACACACACAGACCCACCCATCCCCCATGCCCACACACTCACACATGCCTTCCCGTCTCTCCCACCCCCATGCCCTCCCTTCTCCCCCTCCCCCCTAAGCCCCCCACTCTCCCCCACCCCACCTAAGTCTTCCCCTCTCCCCCACTCCCCTAAACCCTCCCCTCTTCCTCACCCACCTCAGCCCTCCCTTTTCCCCCACGCCCCCCAAGCCCTCCACCCTTTTCTCTCCCCCCAAGCCCCCCCATCTCCCCTATCCCCCACAGCCTCTCCTCCCCCCATGCTTCCCCAACCCTCCCTCTCTTACCCACCCCCTGTACCCTCCCCCTCTTATCCACCCCCTGTACCCTCCCCCTCTTATCCACCCCCTGTACCCTCCCCCTCTTATCCACCCCCTGTACCCTCCCCCTCTCCCCCACCACCCCAAGCCCTCCCTCCTCCACCAATCCCCCCGTGCCAGGTCCCCCCAGCTCCCACTCACCCCAGATCCCAAAGGTCCCCCCCAGAAAAGAAGCAGAAGAGAGTCAGTTTCAGGGTGATGTACTCGAACATAGATGGGATCACAAGCAAGACAAGTGAACAGCACAAGAAGTTAACCCAGATGTAATCGGACTCACTGAAACAAAACTCTCTGGAATCATAACGAATGCCGTGTTTCCCCAGGAGTATACAGTAATAAGGAAAGAGAGGGAAGGTAGAGGAGGAGGCGGAGTGGCCCTACTCATGAGAAGGGAATGGAGTTTTAAGGAGATGGCCATCCCGGGCTGTGATGAGTTCAGAGACTACATAGCAGGCACCATAACAATGGGAGGACCAAGAATAGTAGTAGCAGTAATATACAACCCTCCACCAAATGACAGGAGACCCAGTCAAGAGTATGAAAACAACAACAAGGCAGTTAACACTATAATTGAGAGGGCAGCCTCTGCTGCCTGTAGAAATAGATCCCACCTGCTCATCATGGGCGACTTCAATCACGGAAAGATTGACTGGGAGAACAAGGAACCGCATGGAGGCGAGGATACGTGGAGAGCCAAACTATTGGAGGTGGTGACAAGCAACTTTTAACGCAGCATGTCGGAGAACCCACAAGGATGAGAGGCAATGACGAACCAGCGAGACTCGACCTAGTCTTCACTCTGAACGACTCCGACATAAGAGAAATCGGTTTTGAGGACCCAGTAGGAATGAGCGACCACAGTGTACTGGTGTTTGAGTACTTGATTGAAGAAGGGTTATTGAACTCGAGGAGGGATACCGAAACCAAAAGGTTAGCATACCGAAAGGGAAACTATGAGGGGATAAGAAAATTCCTAACAGATATAGCATGGGAAACAGAGCTCAGGGGAAAGACGGCCCAAGATATGATGGATTACATCACGCAGAAGTGCAAGGACGCAGCAAACAAGTTTGTCCCAGTCCAAAAGGAAAACAGAGAAATGAAGATGAGAAACCCATGGTTTAATCAAAGATGTAGGCTAGCTAAGCAGCAAAGTAAAAGGGCATGGAGAAACTATAGGAATAACAGGACACTGGAGAGCAGAGAAAGATACCAGAATGCCAGGAATGAATATGTCAGGATGAGAAGAGAGGCAGAAAGACAATACGAAAATGACATCGCAAGCAAGGCAAAGACTCAGCCTAAATTGTTGCATAGCCACATTAGGAGAAAAACAACAGTAAAGGAACAGGTTATGAGATTAAGGATAGGGGCGGAAGGATTCACTACAAATGACAAGGAAGTGTGTGAGGAATTGAATAAGAAATTCCAGGAGGTCTTCACCTTAGAACAAGGAGAAATTCCAGAGGTAAGTGAGGGAATAGCTAACCAGGAACCACTGGAAGAGTTTGAGATTACCAGTGGGGAAGTAAGGAAGTGTTTACTAGAGTTGGACGTGACGAAGGCTATAGGCCCAGATGGAATCTCCCCTTGGGTTCTAAAGGAAGGAGCAAGAGAACTGAGCCTACCACTCTCCATAGTGTATAACAAATCACTGGCAACAGGGGAACTGCCAGATATTTGGAAAGCAGCTAACGTAGTCCCGATATACAAGAAAGGGGATAGACAGGAGGCACTGAACTACAGGCCAGTGTCCCTAACCTGCATACCATGCAAGCTGATGGAGAAGATTGTGCGAAAAAAACTAGTGGAGCATCTGGAGCGAAGGAACTTTGTAACACAGCATCAACATGGGTTCAGGGAAGGCAGGTCCTGCCTCACAGGGTTACTTGAATTCTACGACCAGGCAACAAAAATAAGGCAAGAAAGAGAAGGGTGGGCAGACTGCATATTTTTGGATTGTCAGAAAGCCTTTGATACAGTGCCACACAAGAGGCTAGTGCGAAAGTTGGAGATGCAGGCTGGAGTGAGAGGGAAGGTACTCCGGTGGATAGAGGAATACCTAAGCAACAGGAGACAACGAGTCTGTGTGAGGGGTGAGGTCTCAGATTGGCGAGACGTCACAAGTGGAGTCCCGCAGGGGTCAGTCCTTGGACCTATACTGTTTCTGGTATATGTAAATGATCTCCCAGAGGGTATAGATTCGTTCCTCTCAATGTTTGCCGACGATGCAAAAATTATGAGGAGGATTGAAACAGAGGATGATAGTAGGAGGCTACAAGATGACCTGGATAGACTGAGTGAATGGTCCAACAAATGGCTGTTGAAGTTCAACCCGAGTAAATGCAAAGTAATGAAACTAGGCAGTGGAAACAGGAGGCCAGGCACAGGATACAGAATAGGAGATGAAGTACTTAATGAAACAGACAGAGAGAAAGATCTAGGAGTTGATATCACACCAAACCTGTCTCCTGAAGCCCACATAAAGAGAATAACGTCTGCGGCATATGCGAGGCTGGCTAACATCAGAACGGCGTTCAGGAACCTGTGTAAGGAATCATTCAGAATCTTGTACACCACATATGTAAGACCAATCCTGGAGTATGCGGCCCCAGCATGGAGCCCGTACCTTGTCAAGCACAAGACGAAGCTGGAAAAAGTTCAAAGGTATGCTACTAGACTAGTCCCAGAACTAAGAGGCATGAGTTATGAGGAAAGGCTGCGGGAAATGCACCTCACGACACTGGAAGACAGAAGAGTAAGGGGGGACATGATCACAACCTACAAAATCCTCAGGGGAATCGACCGGGTAAACAAGGATGAACTTTTCAACACTGGTGGGACGCGAACAAGGGGACACAGGTGGAAGCTGAGTACCCAAATGAGCCACAGAGACGTTAGAAAGAACTTTTTCAGTGTCAGAGTAGTTAGCAAATGGAATGCATTAGGAAGTGATGTGGTGGAGGCTGACTCCATTCACAGTTTCAAATGTAGATATGATAGAGCCCAATAGGCTCAGGAATCTGTACACCAGTTGATTGACGGTTGAGAGGCGGGACCAAAGAGCCAGAGCTCAACCCCCGCAAGCACAATTAGGCGAGTACAATTAGGTGAGTACACACACACACACACACACACACACACACACAGAGACACACACACACACACACACACAGAGAGACACACACACAGACACACACACACACACGACACACACACACACAGACACACACACACACACACACACACACACACACACACACACACACACACACACACACACACACACACACACACACACACACACACACACACACACACACACACACACACACACACACACACACACACACACACACACACACACACACACACACACACACACACACACACACACACACACACACACACACACACACACACACACACACACACACACACACACACACACACACACACACACACACACACACACACACACACACACACACACACACACACACACACACACACAGACACACACACACACAGACACACACACACACACACACACACAGACACACACACACACAGACACACACACACACACACACACACACACACACACACACACACACACACACACACACACACACACACACACACACACACACACACACACACACACACACACACACACACACACACACACACACACACACACACACACACACACACACACACACACACACACACACACACACACACACACACACACACACACACACACACACACACACACACACACACACGTGTAACCATGTCACCACAACATAACAATTATCGGCAGCAACAACAACAAACACCAACAATAAATATCGAATATTATAACAAAAACACATACAAATTCCCCCTCGTAGTTACGTTAGCACCAATTGTTATCATTTCCTTATTGTCACCCTGCCCTTGTCACCCTGCCCTTGTCACCCTGCCCTTGTCACCCTGCCCTTGTCACCCTGCCCTTGTCACCCTGTCCTTGTCACCCTGTCCTTGTCACCCTGTCCTTGTCACCCTGTCCTTGTCACCCTGCCCTTGTCACCCTGTCCTTGTCACCCTGCCCTTGTCACCCTGTCCTTGTCACCCTGCCCTTGTCACCCTGCCCTTGTCACCCTGCCCTTGTCACCCTGTCCTTGTCACCCTGTCCTTGTCACCCTGCCCTTGTCACCCTGCCCTTGTCACCCTGCCCTTGTCACCCTGCCCTTGTCACCCTGCCCTTGTCACCTTGCCCTTGTCACCCTGCCCTTGTCACCCTGCCCTTGTCACCTTGTCTCTTGTCACCTTTGCCCTTGTCACCTTTGCCCTTGTCACCCTGCCCTTGTCACCCTGCCCTAGTCGCCTTGCCCTTGTCACCCTGCCCTTGTCACCCTGCCCTTGTCACCCTGCCCTTGTCGCCTTGCCCTTGTCACCTTGCCCTTGTCACCCTGCCCTTGTCACCCTGCCCTTGTCGCCCTACCCTTGTCACCTTGTCACCGTGCCCTTGTCACCTTGCCCTTGTCACCCTGCCCTTGTCACCCTGCCCTTGTCACCCTGCCCTTGTCACTTTGCCCTTGACACTCTTCCCTTATCACCTTGTCACCCTGCCCTTATCGCCTTGCCCTTGTCACCCCTGCCCTTGTCACCCCTGCCCTTGTCACCCTGCCCTTGTCGCCCTGCCCTTGTCGCCCTGCCCTTGTCACCATGCCCTTGTCACCTTGCCCTTGTCACCCTGCCCTTGTCACCGTGCCCTTGTCACCGTGCCCTTGTCACCCTGCCCTTGTCACCCTGCCCTTGTCACCCTGCCCTTGTCACCTTGCCCTTGTCACCCAGTCCATGTCACTTTGCCCTTGTCACCCTGCCCTTGTCACCCTGCCCTTGTCACCCTGCCCTTGTCACCGTGCCCTTGTCACCGTGCCCTTGTCACCCTGCCCTTGTCACCTTGCCCTTGTCACCGTGCCCTTGTCACCCTGCCCTTGTTACCCTGCCCTTGTCCCCCTGCCCTTGTCACCTTGCCCTTGTCACCTTGCCCTTGTCACCCTGCCCTTGTCACCCTGCCCTTGTCACCCTGCCCTTGTCCCCCTGCCCTTGTCACCCTGCCCTTGTCACCCTGCCCTTGTCGCCCTGCCCTTGTCACCATGCCCTTGTCACCTTGCCCTTGTCACCCTGCCCTTGTCACCGTGCCCTTGTCACCCTGCCCTTGTGACCGTGCCCTTGGTTCCTCAGGTGAGGGTGCCAGGGGAGGCGCGGTACGAGGTGCCGGTTGGCCTTCACCTGCCCGGGGTGGACCACGCCGACAACCCTCGGTACAACGTCACCTTCACCGCCCCGGGACAAACACCTGACAACACTGACTTCGCCGTCATCGTCACAAGGGCGGCTACTGGCAGCGTCATGTAAGTGTGTGGGGGTGGGTGTGGGGGTGGGTGTGTGGGTGTGTGTGTGTGTGGGTGTGTGTGTGTGGGTGTGGGGTGTGTGTGTGTGGGTGTGGGGGGTGTGTGTGTGGGGTGTGTGTGTGTGGGTGTGGGGTGTGTGTGTGTGTGTGTGTGTGTGTGTACTCAGTTCTGCTACTCTTAACTACTCAGCTACTCTTAACTACTCAGCTACTCTTAACTACTCTGACACTGAAAAAAATCTTTCTAACGTCTCTGTGGCGCATCTGGGTACTAAGTTTCCACCTGTGTCCCCTTGTTTGTGTCCCACCCGTGCTGAAGAGTTTGTCTTTGTCCACCCTGTCAATTTCCCTGAGAATTTTGTAGGTGGTTATCATGTCTCCCCTTACTCTTCTGTTTTCCAGGGACGTGAGATTCAGCTCCTTTAGCCTTTCCTCGTAGCTCATTTCTCTCGGTTCCGGGACGAGCCTGGTGGCATACCGCTGAATCTTCTCTAACTTTGTCCTGTATTTAACTAGGTATGGATTCCAGGCTGGAGCTGCATATTCCAGAATTGCTCTGACGTAAGTAGTATACAGGGTCCTGAACGATTCCTTACACAAGTTTCTAAAGGCAGTTCTTATGTTGGCCAACCTAGCATATGCCGCTGATGATATCCTTTTGATGTAGGCCTCTGGGGACAGGTTCGATGTGATATCAACCCTTAGATCTTTCTGTGTGTGTACTCACCTATTTGTGCTTGCAGGATCGAGCATTGACTCTTGGATCAGTGTGTGTGTGTGTGTGTGTGTGTGTGTGTGTGTGTGTACTCACCTAGTTGTACTCACCTAGTTGTGTTTGCGGGGGTTGAGCTCTGGCTCTTTGGTCCCGCCTCTCAACCGTCAATCAACAGGTGTACAGATTCCTGAGCCTATCGGGCTCTGTCATATCTACACTTGAAACTGTGTATGGAGTCAGCCTCCACCACATCACTTCCTAATGCATTCCATTTGTCAACCACTCTGACACTAAAAAAGTTCTTTCTAATATCTCTGTGGCTCATTTGGGCACTCAGTTTCCACCTGTGTCCCCTAGTACGTGTGCCCCTTGTGTTAAATAGACTGTCTTTATCTACCCTATCAATCCCCTTCAGAATCTTGAATGTGGTGATCATGTCCCCCCTAACTCTTCTGTCTTCCAGCGAAGTGAGGTTTAATTCCCGTAGTCTCTCCTCGTAGCTCATACCTCTCAGCTCGGGTACTAGTCTGGTGGCAAACCTTTGAACCTTTTCCAGTTTAGTCTTATCCTTGACTAGATATGGACTCCATGCTGGGGCTGCATACTCCAGGATTGGCCTGACATATGTGGTATACAAAGTTCTGAATGATTCTTTACACAAGTTTCTGAATGCCGTTCGTATGTTGGCCAGCCTGGCATATGCCGCTGATGTTATCCGCTTGATATGTGCTGCAGGAGACAGGTCTGGCGTGATATCAACCCCCAAGTCTTTTTCCTTCTCTGACTCCTGAAGAATTTCCTCTCCCAGATGATACCTTGTATCTGGCCTCCTGTTCCCTACACCTATCTTCATTACATTACATTTGGTTGGGTTAAACTCTAACAACCATTTGTTCGACCATTCCTTCAGCTTGTCTAGGTCTTCTTGAAGCCTCAAACAGTCCTTTTCTGTTTTAATCCTTCTCATAATTTTAGCATCGTCCGCAAACATTGAGAGAAATGAATCGATACCCTCCGGGAGATCATTTACATATATCAGAAACAAGATAGGACCGAGTACAGAGCCCTGTGGGACTCCACTGGTGACTTCACGCCAATCGGAGGTCTCACCCCTCACCGTAACTCTCTGCTTCCTATTGCTTAGATACTCCCTTATCCACTGGAGCACCTTACCAGCTACACCTGCCTCTCTCTCCAGCTTATGTACCAGCCTCTTATGCGGTACTGTGTCAAAGGCTTTCCGACAATCCAAGAAAATGCAGTCCGCCCAGCCCTCTCTTTCTTGCTTAATCTGTGTCACCTGATCGTAGAATTCTATCAAGCCTGTAAGGCAAGATTTACCCTCCCTGAATCCATGTTGGCGATTTGTCACGAAGTCCCTTCTCTCCAGATGTGTTACCAGGTTTTTTCTCACGATCTTCTCCATCACCTTGCATGGTATACAAGTCAAGGACACTGGCCTGTAGTTCAGTGCCTCTTGTCTGTCGCCCTTTTTGTATATTGGGACCACATTCGCCGTCTTCCATATTTCTGGTAGGTCTCCCGTCTCTAGTGACTTACTATACACTATGGAGAGTGGCAGGCAAAGTGCCTCTGCACACTCTTTCAGTACCCATGGTGAGATCCCATCTGGACCAACAGCCTTTCTAACATCCAGATCCAGCAGGTGTCTCTTGACCTCCTCTCTCGTAATTTCGAACTCCTCCAAGGCCGCCTGGTTTACCTCCCTTTCTCCTAGCACAGTGACCTCACCCTGTTCTATTGTGAAGACCTCCTGGAACCTCTTGTTGAGTTCCTCACACACCTCTCTGACATTCTCTGTATACCTGTCCTCGCCTGTTCTAAGTTTCAATACCTGTTCTTTCACTGTTGTTTTCCTTCTGATGTGACTGTGGAGTAGCTTTGGTTCGGTCTTGGCTTTGTTTGCTATATCATTTTCAAAATTTTTCTCTGCTTCTCTTCTCACCCTGACGTACTCATTCCTGGTTCTCTGGTATCTCTCTCTGCTTTCTGGTGTTCTGTTATTCCGGAAGTTCCTCCACGCCTTCTTGTTCAGTTTCTTCGCTTCCATACATGCCCTATTATACCATGGATTCTTCTGTTGCTTCTCGGATTTTTCCCCTTGGGCCGGGATGAACCTGTTTACTGCCTCCTGACACTTTTGGGTAACATAGTCCATCATACCCTGTACAGACTTGTCTCTGAGGTCTGTGTCCCAAGGTATTTCACTTAGGAAACTTCTCATCTGTTCATAATTCCCCTTTCGGTATGCCAGCCTTTTGATTCCTAGTTCTTTTTGGGGGGAGATAAGTCCTAGCTCTACCAGGTACTCAAAGTTCAATACACTGTGGTCACTCATTCCCAAGGGCGCTTCCATCTTAACTTCCCTTATATCCCATTCATTTAGGGATGTGTGTGTGTGTGTGTGTGTGTGTGTGTGTGTGTGTGTGTGTGTGTGTGTGTGTGTGTGTGTGTGTGTGTGTGTGTGTGTGTGTGTACGCGAGTGCTCTCTCGTGCGCTCACCTAGTCGTGTGTACATAGCTGAGCACCGGTATGGAATGCAGGTAGTCATGGTGATACTGGTGGTGTGAGAGCAGTAGTGACATTATTGGCGGCGGTGGCAACGTTGCATTAGTAAGACAGTCGTGTCAACTGTCACTATCGCTGCAACTAACTGTTGGCGTTAATAGGCCTACCGCCGCCACCCAGGATGGTTAAGGCCCCAAGTCTACCTTGGTTTACATAGCCTTTGAGAATCCTTTATTACTATAGTTTAGGGATAAAATATCTTGGTGACTGTTCTTAAGGGTATTATTGTGGTGGTGTGGGTAGTTGTAACACTGACTGTTGTGGTGAGGGTAGTTGTAACACTGACTGTTGTGGTGAGGGTAGTTGTAACACTGGCTGTTGTGGTGTGGGTAGTTGTAACACTGGCTGTTGTGGTGAGGGTAGTTGTAACACTGGCTGTTGTGGTGAGGGTAGTTGTAACACTGGCTGTTGTGGTGAGGGTAGTTGTAACACTGGCTGTTGTGTTGAGGGTAGTTGTAACACTGGCTGTTGTGTTGAGGGTAGTTGTAACACTGGCTGTTGTGGTGCTGGTAGTCGTGGCTTTATCAACAGCTGTGGTAGTTGTAACATTCATTTTACACAACAAAGTTTGTGACGCGGATATAGTGAGCAACAGCAGAATATTGAGTGTTAATATTATGAATATACAGAACATTTATCCTAGTTCAGATGGGATGAAACGAGAAGACTGCCACCAGCGTGGACACACTCGCAGTGGCGGTTGTGTAACACCAATGGAACGACATTCAGGAATATATGACAAATATGCATTCCTCTGTTTACCTCTATAACTATACAAATATATAAAATGTTGGATCTGTGAACACGAGTTCTTGGACGTTGAAGTACACGAAGGAGATGACAGTACTCATCTAGTTGTGCTTGCGGGGGTTGAGCTCTGGCTCTTTGGTCCCGCCTCTCAACTATGCTCAAGTCAACTGTGTGTGGGGTGCCGTGGACTGAGAGCTGGTGAGCGTTCCTCACGTCGGGAGTTACTTGGGAATAACACTACGGTATTTTGATTGTAAAAAATATAAGTTTTGCAACCCCTAGTTTATACGCTCTTATGACAATCCTGTAACATGTGACTTCAGTCCTCCTGTAACATGTGACTTCAGTCCTCCTGTAACACGTGGCTTCAATCCTCCTGTAACATGTGGCTTCAATCCTCCTGTAACATGTGGCTTCAATCCTCCTGTAACATGTGGCTTCAATCCTCCTGTAACATGTGGCTTCAATCCTCCTGTAACATGTGGCTTCAATCCTCCTGTAACATGTAGCTTCAATCCTCCTGTAACATGTGGCTTCATTCCTCCTGTAACATGTGACTTCAGTCCTGTAACATGTGGCTTCAATCCTCCTGTAATGTGGGGGAAATGCCAGTAATAGATGAATGAGGAAAATTGAATGGACTAGATATTAATATAAGCTACTTTAAAATATGTCTGCCAAATAAAAAAACTGATAAGTCCTAAGCTGGGTTGTGTCCAACCACTTGGACTGGACGGTAGAGCGACGGTCTCGCTTCATGCAGGTCGGCGTTCAATCCCCGACCATCCAAGTGGATTTGGGCACCATTCCTTGCCCCGTGTCCCATCCTAAATCCTTATCTTGACCCCTTCCCAGTGCTATATAGTCGTAATGGCTTGGCGCTTTCTTCTGATAGTTCCCTTCCCTTAGCTGGGTTGTAAAGCCAGCAGTTCCTCTCTTTTCCTTTAATGCAGGTAAATGGCTGTAATTAGCAGGTACAGTTTCTTATGGGAGATCAAAGTTATTGATTGTAGAAACACAATGTACCTTGCAGGCATTTCAACACAACAGCATTGTTTTTATACAATGGTTTAAATGATAAACACAGAACAAAGACTGTAATTACAGGTTCTGTTCTAGAATCAAAAGGTCTAAACAATACACAGTCTAGTTCAGCTCTAAGAATATTGCAGCCAATAATGAAATTATACTAGTAAATATATAACAAATAAATATATGATTCAAGCAAGATTTATATGCTGATATGATTGTAAAAATTATAAATTAATGATAACTGGTATAGCAATTGATAAACTAATTACTGTGATAGCAATTGATAAGTTATAATGATGAATTATATATGCAGATATTAATACATATATTCAAATTAAATGATAAAGATAAAGACTAATGCTTACTGGATAATGGGGAGTTTCCCCGCTGCATGCAATTGGGCAATTTACACTTTACACTCAATACTTATCCCAAATTAAGAACCGATGCCCATCTGACAAGTTGCCAGATTATATTTCTCTCGGTGAGATAAGGCACAGTATTTTGATGATATAACATCATTGCTGCAGGTTGGATACACTAGCATTCATCTTGGATTAAGATGATGTGGTGGTAGTTGTGGTGAGCCACCACACGTGGTGACCCACCACACGTGGCGAGCCACCACACGTGGTGAGCCACCACACGTGGCGAGCCACCACACGTGGCGAGCCACCACACGTGGCGAGCCACCACACGTGGCGAGCCACCACACGTGGCGACCCACCACACGTGGCGAGCCACCACACGTGGCGAGCCACCACACGTGGCGACCCACCACACGTGGCGAGCCACCACACGTGGCGACCCACCACACGTGGCGAGCCACCACACGTGGCGACCCACCACACGTGGCGAGCCACACTCTACACTCGTATTTAGATAAAGGTATCAGTAATTTGTCCTGATTTATAGTACAACACCTCTTTGAATATCGTGGGGAACTATTTTAGTATACTATCACTGGGATTAAGATTAGTTTGTGTACTTACCTAGTTCAACTTCCGGGGGATTGAGCTCTGGCTCATTGGTCCCCGTTCTCAACTGTCAATCAACTGGTGTACAGATTCTTGAGCCTACTGGGCTCTATCATATCTACATTTGAAACTGTGTATGAAGTCTGCTTCCACCACATCATTACTCAATGCATTCCATTTATTAACTACTCTGACATTGAAAAAATTCTTTCTAATGTCTCTGTGGCTCATTCGGGTACTAAGTTTCCACCTGTGTCCCCTTGTTCGTGTCCCACCCGTGCTGAAGAGATTGTCCACCCTGTTAATTCCCCTGAGAATTTTGTAGGTGGTTATCATGTCTCCCCTTATTCTTCTGTTTTCCAGGGATGTGAGGATCAGCTCCTTTAGCCTTTCCTCGTAGCTCATACCTCTCAGTTTTGAGACTAGTCTTGTGACATACCTCTGAATCTTCTCTAACTTTGTCGTGTGTTTAACTAGGTATGGATTCCAGGCTGGAGCTGCATACTCCAGGATTGGTCATACATAAGTGGTATACAAGGTCCTGAACGATTTCTTACTCAAGTTTCTAAAGGCAGTTCTTATGTTGGCCAGTCTAGCATATGCCGCTGATGATATCCTTTTGATGTCTGGGGACAGGTTCAGTGTGATATCAACCCCGAGATATTTTTCCCTATTTGACTCTTGCAGGATATCACCTCCCAGTTGGTACTTGTGTTCAGCCTTCTGCTCCCTTCGCCTAATTTCAGTACTTTACACTTTCCTGAGTTGAACTTTAGTAGCCATTTTCTAAACTGTTCCACCAGTTTGTCCATGTCGTCCTGTGTGGGTGTACACAGGACTATACCTGTGTGGTATAGTCTTGTTGAAAGTTTCTCAGGTATTGTCCCATACTTCTTGGGGGGCAGATAGGCGCACTCTCCTTGCTTTACATTCCTCTCTCGTCCTGTCTAAGCTCGATTATGGTTGCCCTGCTTACTCGTCTGCTTCTCCTTCTACTCTTCGCCGTCTTGATGCTTTGCACCATACTGGGTTGCGCCCTCAGTTCTGGTGCCTTTCGTTCGACTCCCGTCCTTAGCTTGTATGTTGACACTGGCTTCCTGTCTCTCCAGGACCGCCGTGATCGCTACTGTCTTCGCTATCTTGCGCGGTCCTTACAACATCCTTCCTCTCGCCTCTGTCGTGCTTTAACTTTTACCCCTCCTGCGGTTCCTGTTCCTCTTCACCACCTCCCTCTTTCTGTCCGATTATCTCGCCTACAGGATTCTCTTTCCGTTCGTATATCTAATGTTTCTCCTCGTGTTGTTCCTTCTTTGCCCCCGTGGAGAGTCCCTCTTCCGCGGTTTTGTACATCCTTGACCCGTATCACTAAAGCTTTTACCCCTCCTACGGTTCTAAAACGCCTTTTCCTTGAGCACTTTTCTTCTCACTCCCGCTCCGTTTCTGTCTTCACCGATGGGTCTAAGTCTGAGGACGGTGTTGGCTACTGTTTTTCTTCATGATCGCACTTATATATGTCGCTTCCTCCGGAGACTAGCATCTTTACAGCGGAGCTTCATGCTATTCTCTATGCTCTTCGTCTCCTGCTTTCTCGTTGTCAGTCTTCCTTTGTAGTTGTTGTTGACTCTCGTAGTGCCCTCATGGCTCTTGGGTCCTTTAATCCGGTTCATCCAGTAGTTGTCGAGATCCAGCATTAGCTTTTTCTTGTTCACAGTAAATTTAAGTCGGTTGAGTTTTGTTGGATTCCCAGCCATATTGGTGTCTCTTTAAATGAGCGTGCGGATGCTGCCGCCAGGGAAGCTGTCCGCTCTTGTCCCATCTCTTGTAAAGGTGTTCCATATTCCGACTTTTACCCGGTTATCCATTCCTCCGTCCTTACCCGTTGGCAGGCTTCTTGGTCGTGTGTTACTGGTAACAAACTACGTACTCTTAAATGTTGTGTTTCCTCGTGGCCGTCCTCCTACCACCGTAACCGGCGATGGGAAACAGCTCTGGCGAGGATGCGTATTGGCCATACTCGCTTAACCCATGGTCACCTGATGGAGCGCCGCCCTGCTTCTTATTGTCCTAGTTGCATTGTCCCTCTTACGGTCGTGCATGTCCTTCTTGAATGTCCTGACTTCCAGGACGAGCGTGTGTCTTGCTTTCCGACCGCCCCTCGCGGTCGCCTGTCCCTCAATAGAATTCTTAGTGACTCGGATACTTTTGATATCGTTCGCCTTATGCGTTTTTGTTCTCGTATTGGCATCCTTGGTGATATTTAGCGCCCTCTGATTATTCTGCGCATTTGATGGTGCTACATAGCCTTCACGGTTTGGTGCCTTCTCTTTTGATAATTACTTACTTGTTGAAAGTTTCAAGCACAGTCACATGCGTTCACTCTGGATGTAAGCAGTGGATCTGGATCTAATTAATTGTAATTAAGACAACTTCTTATTAACGCTTCTAGATCCTTTACGATACATGAACAAAGTGATGTAGGCATCCAGAAGGCGCAATGGTGGACGTGACATGTAGGATCGAGACTGATTTAATAGATCAATAGATATAGGATGTTAATATGATGTATAATACAAGATAATGAATCTGATGTAGGATTCAGTAGATGTGTGATATAGAAATAGTCCAGTTCTTAGATTATAATATTGATATAGTGGATGGAATTTTCCACATGTAGCTTCAGTTCTAAGTTTCAAGTCTGGTGTAAGTTCAAGCTCCAACTCTCTAGTAACCCCGAAGCTTTAACTAACCACAAATGAACAATACCATTTGATCCTTACTGTTTACAGCTTCGACACGAGCGTCGGCGGCTTGACATACGCCGACCAGTTCCTGCAGGTGTCGACCAGACTGGCCTCGTCCAACCTCTACGGGCTGGGGGAGTCCGCCCACCCCACCCTCAGGCACAACCTCAACTACCTCACCTGGCCCATGTTCGCTAGAGACCAGCCTCCAGCAGGGGTGAGTGTGGGGGGCTATGTATTGGGGTGAGTGAAAGGTAAGAATGCTGGAGTAGATCATGGGTTGAGCTGACAGAGGAAGCAAGAGAGTGCGTGGAAATATAGATTAGAATATAGGGGAAAAGGGGATGTGGATAAATAGGGAGGAAGTGAAATGGAAATTGGGGAAAAGAAAAAAAGGAATACGAGTCGAATATCCTGGATATTTTCATGGAATTTTATGTTGGATGTGAGAGGCTTTAGGGTACTCGCCGACCCGTTCTTCCCAGAAGATCCGAGAATTGTCTTACATACGGGTCGCTAATGACTACTGAGGGATCATGGGGGGGGGGGGGGGGAGTGAATGAACGGTGCCGAAGCGTCTCGCTCTGTCCAGGATTCGAACCCGCGTCTTCACATAAGAGGACTAGCAAAGGAAAGAGGCAGGGAACGAATGCAAGTCATCGATAAAAATTAGGGAGCAGAGGAAGAGAGGGCAGGGCAAAGGAGGGAGGTGAGGTGGGGGAAGGAATATAGGAGATAAGAGAATGGGAATAGGAAACTAGGCTACAGGACTAGAGATAATACTGGCATATAGTAGCACCTTGATGACCACAACACCTAATGCCTCTATTCACCTAGCAGTAAACTGATACCTAGGGAAGGGGGGGGGGGGGGGGTTAGGTCACTGTCGTGGGTGGTATTCCGCACGAGCTCATTACTCGTCCAGGAACACTATAAATAAGTCTTAGAGGCTCCCTGTCCCCGACATGGCGGAAACGACGCCATTATGCCATAGAAGAAACACCATTGTTCAGTCTTGATTGTCACCTTGAACAACCAGGAAGCCAATTTAGCGAGGGCCAGCCTGAGTGTGTTCAGTTCCTCCCCCCCCCCCCTAACACACACTGTTGTCTGTGCAGGTGGGAGAGAACCTATACGGCGCTCATCCCATGTACCTGGTCGTGGAGGCCGACGGCAGCGCCCACGTTGTTCTTTGGCTCAACAGCAACGCCATGGGTGAGTTTTGTGGTCAGCGGGGTGAGTGAGCGAAGCTGATGGATGGGTCTATTTTCTATAATTGTCATATAATCGGTTATAGTGTTAACTTGCACATTCACATTTAAGTCTACCCTCCATGGACAGATGTCTGTACCAACCTGCAGGGTAGTTAAGAGCTCTCCATCACTGAGGCGGGTTATAGGGGTACGTTGTAACAACCATCAACTGCAGGAAGTTAATAGGGAAAACTTATACACACAATGAATGAAATTAATGTATTCATAATTTTAAATGAGTAAACGAGTTGAGGGAATTTGTTATGAATAAGTTGGATCAAACTTTGAGTTGAATAATCTGAGAAATGGGTGTGACGGATGGATGAGTTGGATAGTAATGGGTAAACACAGCCTAAAACATACTTATGATGCAAGGGGGGGGGGGGGGGGAGCTGGGGTTCGTAGTGTCAGGACGTTTCATAATTGTTTTTCACCTCCCTTTACACAACACATTTGGCTCATTCGCCTTCCGCTTCAGAGGCCGAGACGATGCCCTTGCCGGGCCTGACCTTGAGGGCCATCGGGGGCATCATGGACCTGTACTTCTTCATGGGCCCCAGCCCTAGGGAGGCGCTGCAGCAGTACGCACAGGTGGTGGGGCTTCCCGCCCTCCCGCCCTACTGGGCCCTCGGCTTCCAACTCTGCAGGTGAGGTTCTGCGGACCTTCTGGAGCCAGAACTGGACCTTGAAGAGCAATGACTGGACCATAAGGGATGAGGTTGTGTGTTACACAGGATTGATCTCGGGAATTCACAGGACTTCGATGTTTATCTGTTCACTCTCCCGTTTCTCTTGACCTTTCTGTCTTGTCCCATCATATTTCTCCATTTTCCCCTTCTTATTTTTCTCATTCCTTTCACTTTTCAGTTCTCTCATTCCTCTCCCCCGCATTAATTTCCCTCTGAACTCTAATGCTTCCGTCTCCCCCTCACAGATACGGCTACAACAGCCTGGACACACTGAAGGCCGCAGTCTCCCGCACCCGCCGTCACGGCCTCCCGCAGGTGAGTCTCCCGCACCCGCCGTCATGGCCTCCCTCAGGTGAGTCTCCCGCACCCGCCGTCGTGGCCTGCCGCAGGTGAGTCTCCCGCACCCGCCGTCATGGCCTCCCGCAGGTGAGTCTCCCGCACCCGCCGTCGTGGCCTGCCGCAGGCGAGTCTCCCGCACCCGCCGTCGTGGCCTCCCGCAGGTGAGTCTCCCGCACCCGCCGTCATGGCCTCCCGCAGGTGAGTCTCCCGCACCCGCCGTCACGGCCTGCCGCAGGTGAGTCTCCCGCACACTACCCCAACACTCGCCTGTGTCGCCGCCAGGTACACCTCTACCTCTCTCACTACACCCCTTCAAGCCCACTTCACCCCAGACCCACACTCCTGGCCCGGGCCACCTTCAGCATACACGCCTGGCCCGGGCTACCTTCGGTACACACACCTGGCCCGGGCCACCTTCAAGCCCACACACCTGGCCCGGGCCACCTTCAAGCCCACACACCTGGCCCGGGCCACCTTCAATACACACACCTGGCCCGGGCCACCTTCAGCCCACACTCCTGGCCCGGGCCACCTTCAATACACACACCTGGCCCGGGCCACCTTCAGCCCACACTCCTGGCCCGGGCCACCTTCAGCATACACGCCTGGCCCGGGCCACCTTCAGCATACACGCCTGGCCCGGGCCACCTTCAGCACACACGCCTGGCCCGGGCCACCTTCAGCATACACGCCTGGCCCGGGCCACCTTCAGCATACACGCCTGGCCCGGGCCACCTTCAGCATACACGCCTGGCCCGGGCCACCTTCAGCATACACGCCTGGCCCGGGCCACCTTCAGCATACACGCCTGGCCCGGGCCACCTTCAGCATACACGCCGGCTACTCCACAACAACAAACTCTCCAGGGCAGAGATTCTCCACAACATATTCCTGTACTTCCGTGTTTGTTAATTACAGTACATTCCTCTTCAGTGTTCATTTCATGTGTCCTTTATACTTTTTAATATATTTTCCCCTTGCCGCCTCTATGACCCACTCATTATAAACAAGTTTTCTGCGATCTTGTCAACCCGTCCTCGACTCGAGTCCATTACTTCCAGCAGTCGACCCCACAGACGCAGTCATAAATTTGTACATGCTGTTCATTCAAAACGGGAATTTTCTCAAATATAAATTAATATTATAGTATATTAGCATATTGTGCATAGCATTTACTGCATTTTGGTTCAAACAAAATTCGTCAGTGAAGCACGTGTTCCGGAAGTGTTCGAACGTCATCAGTTGTGAGTCGTGTGTAAACCGTTTTTCATTCATAAATAGGGGGTATGGCGGGTGCATGGAATCACTTTTGGATCTTTGTTTGGAAAACGGGTTGGATCTTGTTTTGATCATAAATACGTCAGCTCGTCCTCCAAACAAAGACCCAAAAGTGATTCCATGCATACAATCATTACTCTCTTGACGAACACGCGCGGCGACATTTAAGGTCTTTGCTTCAATAATAAACGCAAAAAACTCCCTTTTAATACTTTGCACGACGCTCTTCACCCTCCAGGACGTCCAGTACGCTGACATCGACCACATGGACCGTCGTATGGACTTCACCTACGATAATATCAGCTTCGCCGGCCTCCCGGAGTATATCAGACAGGTCAAGGGTCAGGGGCTCCGCTTTATCATCATTCTTGACCCGGCCATCAACGCTGAGGTCAGTTCATCACCAGTTTTCAGTGTGTAGAGTGGAGATGTCTGTTGCAAGTTGCAGATTTGCAGCAGTTGCATGAGGTATTCTGCAACAAGTATTTTAATGTGACTTTGAAAGGCAGTATTTTTGTTCAATCATTACAGTGGTGTTTTAGCACTTTTAAAAGTTTGTGGTAGATGATGAAAGGGCAAGTAGGCTTCTTGAACTGTGCCGACGGCAGCGCCCACGTTGTTCTTTGGCTCAACAGCAACGCCATGGGTGAGTTTTGTGGTCAGCGGGGTGAGTGAGCGAAGCTGATGGATGGGTCTATTTTCTATAATTGTCATATAATCGGTTATAGTGTTAACTTGCACATTCACATTTAAGTCTACCCTCCATGGACAGATGTCTGTACCAACCTGCAGGGTAGTTAAGAGCTCTCCATCACTGAGGCGGGTTATAGGGGTACGTTGTAACAACCATCAACTCCTCTCTCTTCACTTTGGGCTCCTCTCCCTTCACTTTGGGCTCCTCTCCCTTCACTTTGGGCGCCTCTCCCTTCACTTTGGGCTGCAACGTATTAACGACAAACGCCACAGGTCTCCTACAAACTTTTGTATAATCCCGCTTACGTCATTGGCTAGATGACACCCGAGGTACTTTACTTTTTCACCCAAGATGTTGGTTACTGCTTCATTGATTCCAAACAATTTATGTTCATAACCCCTCCCCCCCTCTCATCATAGATTACTGTACTCTCGGGGCTAATATTTAGTACTCCTGTACCAGCACCATATAGTACAAAGATGTTATTAAGAGTAACACTCATTTTAAATTGCAGGATAATTCTCAGATGTCAGGAGGCTTCCTGGGGCATTGTGTCTCTTATAACTTCTTGTTGTAAATTAAAGGCTAGTATAGTTCGCCCATTCACATATGTATCACAAATTAATATGCTGTCATTGTCCACTCTTAAGACCTATAACAGGGTGTAATTTAATTTTGAGGGAAGTCCCATGCCATATTAATAACATTTGTACTGTTCTAAATTAATAATGCATTGATAAATTGACTGTTTTCCAAGTAAAGCAGAATACGATTATATACTCTAAACATAGTCTCCAAATCTTGAGTAGCTGTATATCCAACCGGTCATCCTAACAGAACGTCGCATTTTGACGTATACTGTACCCAAGGCCAAAAAATTTTGTATTAGAAAATGGTAGTGCTTGCCAAATTTACATACTGTCCCGTTTTCTTTTTTGGGACCTCTGGTAAATAAGAGCACTTTAGTACTTCAGTGTCCTGACGTTGGGAAACCTTGGGAGGACAGGCTGTATATATATACTGCCACTCTGGTGTACTGTTCCACAGGGTTGGTCCAGTGTAATTTCTCATTGTTCATATCCCAGTATATACGTTTTTACATTGGGTTTTGTCGAATGGATACGTAATCGGTAAGTTATTCTGTGTCGTGGCCTTATTGATGGCTTATAAGCCAGCTGGGTGAGGCGTGACTCGGTCAATCCACAACGTCCAAGCTTAATATTATTTATAACATTTGCATATTCATTATCGCTGCGTATAATCCACTTGTCCGTTTTAAGTTCAAGACGAGCTCTAATGTCCACATTATCCAAAAAAATATTATCTAACTGATGTGTGTGTGTAAAATCCAACATTAGTTTGAAGCAAGTGCTCATTTCCTTTTATTTTTATACCCGTTATTCCTTGGGTTTGTTCTGGTGTAGCATTGGCGAAATATACAGCTTCAATTTTACTTAAGTGACCAGGTAAAAAAAGAAGTGACTCTCTCCTTCCACTGCACTTCACAACCGGAAATAGTTGGTAGCAGCTTTATATATGACCAGAATAAGAATAAAGTTACTTTTGACTATAATCTCGTTAAAATACACAACTGCAGATTTGAACATGCTCTGCGATAACCAATTTACAATAGACATTTTTAGCAACTTCTATAACCGTGACACCACCATCTTCCATTAATTCATGGCCAGTTATAAGGCCGCACAAAACAGATCTAGCAGGCGTCCATTCACACCTTTAATGTGGAATTAAAGATACGAATCTTTAAATTTATTATTTATCTCGTAATTTACGGGTAATAGGTTAATTGTAGATCGACTTGCACCCCTTCTCACTCCAGCCCTTTGTCGTGGTGAAGGGGCTTGGTGGGCAGCTGTTGGAGCGTGATGCTCCATTGGACAGCTTGTCCTGTCCTTTTGAAGCCTTATGCTCCTGCTGCTATCTTTATTACTTTTGCTGGTTTCTTTTCCCTCTTCCTCATTTTTCATTTTTCTTCTCCACCTCCTCTACTTTCTGATTGTAACTTCCAGCCGATTTGGTGCTGTTCTTGAATATTGTTTCCGTTATCTTCTCCTGTTTTGACGTCGGGTGATTGAAAAGACACACTCTCACTCGTAGAACTGTAGTACCTGACGTGGTTGAGCGAGGGAAAACGTTTATGTTAAACTCTGTCTTCGTTGCTGAGCCCGATCTCAACGGACTGACGATTTTTAAGGTGGCGGGGAATATATCCACGATGCTCCCTTGGGAATAGAAGCCTTTCATACTGGTAAGTGGTCTTGTCAGGTGCCCTGTTCTGTCCTAATTATGGATTCATGGTGAGTATGGGGGCTCAGTCGTTATATTATATTTAATATATTAAATTATATTATGTTAGTTCTATGCCGATATTTTACCTTCATTTAACTTCTCTAACTCATGGGGTGGGTGGCCAGACCCCTGAGTCTGATAGTGATGGAAGGCCGGGCTCTGTAGCCCCTGCTACATTGGGCCTTGACCAAGCTGGGCCCAATGTAGCTTTGACTCTGACTCCCCGACTGACCGTCTCTGCTCCCTTCCCATCTCTGTAGCAGGGTTGAGCCCCGAGCCGCAATTGGTGACCACCTCATCCCCTGGAGCAGCTCCAACCCTCGTTGTGACAAATGCGCCTTTTCTTACTTGAGGTGCTCGGCGCCGTCGCCTACACACTCGAACATGAATGCCTCCTTCCCAATCTATTACATTCAAGGATTTGTTTGGTCCTACAAACTGGACTAAATATTTTGATTTCGGTCATGATGATCATACACGTCCAGATTCATTCATCCAAAAATACCTAGTTGATTCAGTGAATACCTTTGTCACTTTTAACCCCACTTGTACTGGAACACATGTAGTTAGTTGCAGCCACTTCTCAAGAAGCAGCCAACTGTTTGGCTTCATTGTCTTGCAATGGTGAGACCTCATTTAGGCTCTCTAAAAATGCCCAGTTAAAAGCCAGCATTTGCACAGTTATTCTCCCGCACCATGTGGCTACTGGTGCGGGAGACTGCCTCAGACTGCCATCAGGATATTAAATACATCCTTGAGGCCCAAGGGTAATCTATCCTCTAGATTGATATGTTCACTCGACCCCCTCACGGTCGTCGTTGTCAACCTCTTCGCATAGTAAAACTCACTTTTGATAGGTCCCTTTAATCTTCCCTAATTCTTGTAGGTGCTAGATGCTCCGTTCAGGAGTACATCCCCTCTCCTCGATTCTGCAATAGGTGCTGGAGATTTGGGAGTGGTCCCTTGAAGTGCACAAGTAAGGTGCACTATGCCCCTTGTGTGGAGACTCGGGTCATTCTAACACAGTGCTCTTCTTCCCAAGCTCACTGCATAAATTGCAGTGACACCCACCCTGCCTTCTGCCGCACATGTGTACACTACAAATTTAAGGAAGCCATCATCAATTTGAAACATCACGATCGTTTCTTTCCCTGGGGCCAGACGCCAGGTTCGCTGTCTCTTCTATTTCTCTGGCATGTCATGTGAGTTCTATTCCACTTCTTCTCGCCCTCTTCTACCCTCTCGATTCCGCAACACAACCGCTACCAGGCCTTGGATCCCGCACCTTCACCCCCACCTCTTGGTGTTTTGTATTCTGGAACTGAGGGGTCTCTCCCATGGTTGCCCGCCTGATGATTCTCCCTTACCAGTCTTCACTGTCTACTGTGCCTTCCTTTCCTTCTCAATCCAGTCATTCTTCTCAGCCCTCCCCTCTGTCTTTTGGCCCTCCACAACACCTGTCCATCCAGGCCAATGTCCATCCTTCTCCTAGCCATCTTCGTGTTGACCATTCCCGTTCTCCCTCTCCTGCTGAGACTTTGGAGACTGTCGGCCAGTACATTGCTGTTAATATGCCTGTCTATCAATGTCAGAAACGTAAACCTGGCTCCTCTTCTTCTTCCTCCCTGGTGGGTAAGTTACTTACCCACCTTACTTAAGGTGGGTAAATAAGGCATCATTACATCCCTTGCCTTCCGTCTCCAATTCGTATCCCTGCATCTTCTCCCATTTCAATGGCAGAGTCACTTGTCCCAGCTATGGAGATTTCTTTGGTCCCTGGGTTCTCTCTCTCTCTCTCTCTCTCTCTCTCTCTCTCTCTCTCTCTCTCTCAGATGCTGTCTTTACTCAAGTGCACTTCCCTGTTTCTGTCCTTCCTCCCCTAGATTTCCTTGACCGCCCCTCTCAAATGCCCCCTCCCACTCCGGACTTTCTTAGTCTGCCTCTGGCCCTTCCTGTCACCCCATTGACTTGACCGTCTTTGCTAGATTTACCTCTGCCCAATAACCCTGATTTCACTGACCCTGATCCTATCTAATATACTGTTTTTCCCTTATTTCTTTCAGTTATCTGTTTTTGAGAATGTCTATTCTTCAATAGAATGTTTGTAGTTTCTATGCCAACTTCCATAAATTCCAACTTTTAGTCACACAATTTTCGCCACTTTGTGTCTGTCTCTAGGAACCGAAGCTTGGTGCTCGTCCTATTCACTTCCATAGTTTTGCCTTTCTCTTTTCCCCCTTCTAGCTTTTGCTGGGGCCCATAACTCTACTGCTCTTTTGACCCGTAATCATATTCCCCTCGTCCCCCTAATTTACCAGTCACTCATTCCTTCCTCTGTTGCTCGTATCTATGTGAATAAACTGTATACTGTCTGTTCCGTTTATCTCCCCCTAAACATTCTTCTTTCTCTCCCTGATCTCAAAAACATTTTGGACTCCTTACCGGAGCCTGTGCTTCGGCAATCCTTCTGAGTTAAAGTGTACCAATATTGAGCTATTACTCAATATTGGTACAATTGAGTATCCCATTACGAATACGTGATAGTCAAAATAACCACATGATGGGTTGGCACATTTAGGCATTGGGTGGCACTATAATTAAATAAGTCTAGAGGCAGTTATGAAGTGACTTTGACTTAGGACACAGGCCACTTGTGTCCTCTACTTGTGTCCCTCTCTAGCGGCCAATTAAAAAAACTATAGTCGAACATAGAGAGCCTCTAGCGACTCTTGGTACCAGTAGTACCATGTGCGAGGGAGGGAGAAAATTATCAAGGAAAAGTGCCAAGCCATTACGATAATATAGCACTTGGAATGGGTCAGAATAATGATTTGGGATGGGACGGGGTAAGGAATGGTGTCCAATCACTTGGACGGTAGGGAATTGAACGTCGACTAGCATGAAGCGAGACTGTCGCTCTACCGTCCAGCATACAATGGTATGTGTAAACATCATTGTATAAATCCCATTAATGTTGCAATAGTGACCTTGTTTATTGAACAAATAATAAAGACTAGTAAACAATTGCAGTTGCTGGAGGTGGACAAACACTAATGGGGTGGAATGCAAGTCAATAAAATTGTGTGGGTCAAGCTCCCCAGGGTATGATTGACAGCTTATTAGAACTTGCATGCTTGAGCACTCTCTCTTTCTCTCCCTCTTTCTCTCCCTCTTTCTCTCCCTCTTTCTGTTTGAAAACAGAATTGACTAATGACTATCAGGAATTGAATGGAATGGCGGGTCCCACAAGAGCTACAGTATGAGAAATCAAGCATACACAGGAAAGAGCAAATAACCGAGTATGCACACTGGAATGATAAGAATGTCTGGAATTGGTATGGCTAGCTGTAACTGTGAGGGCACAAAGGCTAAATCACGAGCCTCAAAGCACAAAATAACACAGTCCAAATAGCAGAGTACGCACAAGAGGCGTGCCCGAGTGAGGTAGTAACACCTTACCTGGTGGTGAGGGACCCATGAGGGGTGAAGGGGAAGAGAGAGAGAGAGAGAGAGGAGGATTTGTTCTGTTTCGACTATCTCCACTCTTCCAACATCCCTCACTCCACTCCAACTCAAAATCATAAACCACCGGTCGTAGTCTCACTTTCCACTACTCTTCCTTCCTTCCCTGTGGGTGCCTCTCACCTCACTGTATGCACCTCTAATCTCCCAGTGGGCGCCTCTCCCCTCAGATGAGTGCAGAGGAGTACGGGGTGCATGCCAGGGCCCTACAGAAGGATGTGTACATCAAGTGGCCTCAAGACCTCGTCCCTGCAGACAACTTCAACGCTGGCGACATCATGCTGGGATATGTGAGTCTTAAAGTATCCATCCATTCAGTACCCGCTGTCACCATCTTCACTACTCGCTCCCATCACCACCTTCACTATAGCCTGCCCCCGTGTCACCACCTTCACTATAGCCTGTCCCTGTGTCACCACCTTCACTATAGCCTGCCCCCGTGTCACCACCTTCACTATCGCCTGCCCCCGTGTCACCACCTTCACTATAACCTGCCCCCGTGTCACCACCTTCACTATTGCCTGCCCCCGTGTCACCACCTTCACTATTGTTTGCCCCCGTGTCTCCACCTTCACTATCGCCTGCCCCCGTGTCACCACCTTCACTATTGTCTGCCCCCGTGTCACCGCCTTCACTATAACCTGCCCCGTGTCACCACCTTCACTAAAGCCTGCCCCCGTGTCACCACCGTCACTATAGCCTGCCCCCGTGTCACCACCTTCACTATAGCCTGCCCCCGTGTCACCACCTTCACTATAGCCTGCCCCCGTGTCACCACCTTCACTATAGCCTGCCCCCGTGTCACCACCTTCACTATAGCCTGCCCCCGTGTCACCACCTTCACTATAGCCTGCCCCGTGTCACCACCTTCACTATAACCTGCCCCGTGTCACCACCTTCACTATAGCCTGCCCCCGTGTCACCACCTTCACTATAGCCTGCCCCGTGTCACCACCTTCACTATAGCCTGCCTCGTGTCACCACCTTCACTATAGCCTGCCTCGTGTCACCACCTTCACTATAGCCTGCCCCGTGTCACCACCTTCACTATAGCCTGCCCCCGTGTCACCACCTTCACTATAGCCTGCCCCCGTGTCACCACCTTCACTATTGCCTGCCCCCGTGTCACCACCTTCACTATAACCTGCCCCCGTGTCACCACCTTCACTATAGCCTGCCCCCGTGTCACCACCTTCACTATAGCCTGCCCCCGTGTCACCACCTTCACTATAGCCTGCCCCCGTGTCACCACCTTCACTATAGCCTGCCCCCGTGTCACCACCTTCACTATAGCCTGCCCCGTGTCACCACCTTCACTATAGCCTGCCCCCGTGTCACCACCTTCACTATAGCCTGCCCCCGTGTCACCACCTTCACTATTGCCTGCCCCCGTGTCACCACCTTCACTATAGCCTGCCCCGTGTCACTACCTTCAATTCTGTTACAATTTGTGTTTCCTGTAGCGATGTAACACCTATAACGACAAAACACCTTTCCTCTCGCACAGTTTAGTCTCCTGTATTTAAACACCTGTAAGTAATGAAATACAATACTTAACGAATCTCAAACAAATATCAAAATAAGTTGATTTAATCTATAATTGTTTCTTCTTTCAAGCTGATTAAATTCGCACACTGTTCGTGGATGGTGTTATTTCTGTTGTTGAAACAAGACGCTTTTCCTCCGGATCAGGTGTGGCCAGATAACCGGACGGCGTTTCCGGACTTCTTCCGGACGTCAACAAAGGAATGGTGGCAGGAGGAGATAGTCCAGTTGCATAAAACACTGGAATTTGATGGACTCTGGATTGTGAGTAAATGTGAGAGCGTGTTGTGAGTCCGTGTGTTAGTGGGTTGTGAGTTCATTAGGTAATTAACAGGAGAAAGCACCAAGATATTACGACTATAAAGCATTTGGAAGGGATAAGGATTTAGGCTAGTACGGGAGAAAAGAATGATGCCTAACCTCTTGGATGGTCAGGGGTTGAACGCGGACCTGCAGGAAGCGAGACCATCGCTCTATGCTCTACTTACATTGGGCTGCGAGTATATGTTGAATGTGAGCACATGTGACAGTGGGTTGGAAGTACATATGGTACGGGGATGTCTACATGTAGTTTTGGATAGTTCCTGAGGTTGTAGGTTGAGTCAACTTGAATTGTGAATTCTGGGTACAGGTGAAAGTTGGATGAGTACAAGCAGTCGAATGTTGAATTCATTTAATTATATATTGTAAGTGAATGTGGATATGTGTACAAGGGCTTAATTACGAGTTGTGAATGCATAGGACTTTTGGTTGTGTGTACATTGGTTGGAGGATTGTAAGTACATAGTTTGTGAGTACAACTAGTAGATTGGAGTGTAAGGTAATTATCAGGAGAAAGCACTAAGTCGTTTGACTATATAGCACTTGGAGGCGATAAAGATTTGAGATTGGATGGGTGGAAAATGAGTACATGTTCAGTTGTATTTTTTGTGTATGCTATTAACCCTATATACAGTACTCTATTCCTTGAACTAAACTTTCCCCCACATGACATGAACAAGGCTTTCTTTTCCACCACAGACGAGTGTAATTGGCACCAACAATATGGCGTTTCCGTTTTGGCAAAGTCTTTTTTTGTGATCCCAACTGTTGGATTACATTCCAAGCGCGGGTGAACGGTGGGAAAAATCAGAAACCTACTAACTCTTTTACATTTTTTCTGTAACTTTCCAGCATGAGTACAGAATTTATACACAATCAGGTGAAGTTCATGTTTTCTAATTGAATTTACTGATTTGTATCCCATTTTATCAACAACGATCAACAACATAACGCATTGAAGGAAGATAGGGATGCAGAACATGCCATCAGCACCTGTAGGCCGTGGGCAGCCCCAACCACACGTATTTGTCATTTTAACAATTGAGCTTAATTTGTTCTTTAAGCTGCACAACTCTTTTTATAGCTACCAAGGGAAGGGAGGGAGGGATGCAAAACATATTAAATCACCCACCCTTCTGTCTGTATTTGAGAGAAGGGAAGGAAACTATCAGGAAAAAGCGCCAAGTCATTACGACTTCATAGCACTTGGAAAGGATCTTGGATAAGGAATTGGGATGGGAAAGGAGGGAGGGGAGGGAAGGAATGGTGTCCATCACTTGAATGGTCGGTAATTGAACGCCGACCTGCATGAAGTGAGACCGTCGCTCTATCATCCACGCCAAGTGGTTGGGTCAAAAAGATGTTTACAATGGTAGAGAGAGAGAGGAAGGTGTGTCAAATCTCAAAATATCGAGATTTTAATAATACCTTGCTTTTCCAAATTTATCGAAAATTACCTATTTTAATATGCAAAACACGCATAAGAGTCATATTATAAGACCTTAGGGGCTGTTGGGTTGGGATTTAAAAAAAAATATCTTGGGTGCAAATACGGAGAAGTATCTTCTATATGCATAATGTTCATAAAGGAAAAGTAGAGAATTATTGTCGTCGACAAGATGTACACTACATAGACAACATACAATACCGCATATCCATTTCAAATACAAATTTCCCCATTAGAAAACTGCAGTGAGCAGTTTTAAACAAGTTTTTCAAGTTATTAACCTTCTTTACGGTATGCATTATTTTGGCAAAGTGCATAGATTTAAAAAAATTACAGAAAGATTTACTAAATCTTTAAAAAATTTGTGAAAATTTTGTAAAGACCATTTTAAGACTTTAAAACTACTGAAATTTAAGATAATGTATGTTATTCCCTCATATTATATATCGTTTCTACATGAACAGTTCTAAGAGGATATTGAGTTTGGACTATAGACAAACAGCAGGTATGATAATAGACCTATAAATTTTACAAAGATCTCCGATTATAGGATCCCAGGATCGATTAGATATTTAAAAAAAACACAGCTTAAATATGTTTAAAGTCCATTTCATCATCTCAGATCTGTATACAACTAAGTTAAAATATGGCATTTCCTCACAAATTATACATGGAACTTTCATTAACAGATTATTGTCGAAAAACTCGGTTATCCTCAAGAACTAGACCGTTGTATGAAAAAAAGTATAAAAAAAGGTTAAATGTATTCAGACGATGAGTCACAATAACATAACTGAAGATCTGATGACCAAACCACACATCAGAAGAAGAAACGACGACGTTTCGGACCGTCCTGGACCATCATCAAGGTGAGAGTGAGTGGAGAGAGGATAGATTTATGAAGATTAAGCCACCCAAGATTAAAAGAGTGGTTGCTGTTGCTTTAGATTCATCTACTCGGACAAAAGTTCCAAGTACCACGGGCAATGGTGAGTCCATAGTGGACCTACCTTATTACACAGGAGGGGACTGTAACTGATTAGGAAAGTAAGTTATTGTTGTCTTTTGATTCAGCTACTCGGAACAAAGGTTCCAAGTAACACGGGCTACGGTAAGCCCGTAGTGGACTTATGTGGAACAGGAATGAGGTTGTAGCGAGTGTTAAGAGAGGTGACTGATTGGTGAAGATTAAGCCACCCAAGAGGTGGCACAGGCATGAATAGCCCGTAATTAAGAGAGGATGTTGTTGTTGTTGTTGTTTTAGATTCAGCTACTCAAAACAATAAGTTCCAGTAGCACTGGCTATGGTGAGCCCGTAAGTGGAGGCTCTTGGAGCCATTATCTATATCAGTGGCTGATACTAAGAGATCTGGCGATGGATGGGGTCTTCATCATGGTTTTCAGCCTGGAGGGCTGGCTATACCAGTTATGGAACTGGTAGGATTAGTGTAGACCTCTAGGTTTTCCGTTTTTTCTTTGCCCGCGACTTTGGCTGGGCAGTGCTGTCATTGGAGTTTGGTGACGTGGCCTCCATGAGGAAGTTTTGAACCGTGTAGGTGTACTTGTGAGGCGGTTTTGGAGCTCCTACTGTGATTTCCTCGTCTGAGGAGTCCGTAACCTCCGTAGTGGGCGTTTTTGTCTTTCGCCTCGCAGCCTTCGGAGGGCTTAAGTGTCATTGATTGGTGGTTGTAGCTATTTCAGGAGCGCTGGTGGTGCTGTTATTCTTTGTAAAAGGCACGTCTGCTAGCGCGGCTGCTGAGATAGTGATGGTAGGAGTGTTGGGAGCTGGAGAAGGAATTACCTATGTTTGTGTCTCCCGTGTCATGGGCGGTTCTGGAGTCGGTGTTGAAGTTGACCACCTGGTCGTCCTGGTGGTAGTCTCCAGAGTGGTAGAGGAGGCTGTGAGATCTACGCCAGTGGCTATGATGGGGGCCAGGCCATTGTCTATGTACAATGAGTTTAGTTCACTGACAAAGCGCTGGTTGTCTGGTCCTGCAAGCCTTTCCGCTAGTCTAATAAGACCAGGGATAATGCCTGCACGTGATGCAGGGGCCTGTGAAGGAGCCTGTGGGACCTTGGGTCCCCAATGAGAAGGCTGTGTCGCCTGCTGGGAGGAGCCACATGTTGGTAAGAGCGGAAAGTCTTCTGGTTGATTAGTGAGAGCTAAGGTGGTGGGTTGAACGCTTGGGGCTCTGGTCGAGGAGGTAGAAGGGTTGTTTCTCTTGGCTTCAACCTGGGCCTTGATGCTTTCCTGTCTGCGGGGGCAGCGGTAGGAAATTGCAGGGTGATTGCCATCACAGAGCAAGCAGCGATGGACTGTTGCCTTGCATATGGAGTAGTGATGGTCCAGTGCGCACAGGCTGCACTTCTGGACAGGGTGCTGACACTTATTGGGCGGGTGCGAGAGCTCGTAGCACTTGAAGCACTGTTGGATCTCATGGTATCGTTCCTTTTTTATTTGGTGGGGTGGAATTTTTAAGCCGAAGCAGTAGATTCCTTGTGTGGCCGCCTGGTTGGCCGCGCTATGGTGGTGAAAGTAATCTTCATTGATGTTTTGTCGGTTTTGCAGAACTCGAAGTTGAATACAGCCAGGTTTGGATTTTCGTCCTCGACATTGTCCATGATATGATGTTGAGGTCGCTCAGTGATCCACTGGCTGGTCCTGCTGATAAAAACAGTTCTTCCGGCCAGGAACTGACGTGGGAAGTGAGGATATAGGTGGTGCTCTTTACGAAGAATGGCATCGTTAGTCAGGAGTTTTTCTAGCTCCTCTTCACATGAAAAGAAGAGCACGATATCTTCACCTTCCTGACTAATGTCAACGGGTTCGAGGCCAGTAACGTCCATCAGGACCTTTAAAATATTGCTTCTTCCGATTGCATGACCGTCAAGTGGAGTAGCTCTGACTTTAAGACGTTTGGGTCACATTGTGACCACACTGCTCCTTGTGGTGAGTGGTGTCAGACTGGACCACTGCATCCAACGTGTGTCGACGCTCAGTCGACTGTGTAAGAGAGGAAGAAACGGGTCAATAAATATGGAAAGAGGTGAGGAGTAGGTTAGAGAAGTTAATTTCTGGAAGAAGGTATTACGGGCAATTCTTTCCTGTGCCACCTCTTGGGTGACTTAATCTTCATCAATTAATCAAGAAAGGAAGAGAGATAAGAACCGGATGAAAGGCACGATTGGGATGAGTGTAATAATTACCTTCTTCTCTTACCTACTCATCATCTTTTTCTTTTCTTATTACCCTCTCTCCCAGTTTCCAGTACCAGAGACATTGCATTAGCCATACACAGGCTCAGACTTGGTTACAAGTGCTGCTGGGGAGGTAATAAACCAAATAGTTAAAGAGTGTCATATCCTGTGGAACAGAGGCATAGGCGCCACTACTGTATTACTTACTGGAATGTGAAGCAACTGAAGCCCTGCGCATCAAACTCAACATTAATCCAACAACAGCAGCTGCATTAGATGCAAATTCCACAGCGACTACATTGATTAGAAAACCAGTTGAAGAATGGGACACACTAGTGAACATTCTGCATCTATATCCGCCACCAAGATAATGTTATTAAAACAGGGGAACTCGGCACCAGTGCACTAAAACAGAAGTGAAAAAGAAACGGGGAAAAAGGAGGAAACCCCACCTCCATTTAAAACTTTAACCCAAATATCACAGTAACAAGGTTATCGCGAATTACAGAACTCGATTACGGGCTCACTATAGCCCGTGCTACATGGACATTTCGTTCTGAGTAGCTAAATCTAAAACAACAACAACGACATCTCTAGATTCAACTAACATTTACGCATCTGGGAGTGTACTCTGAGTTGTCGTGGGGTATGGTTGTTTTCCCCGGCCCCTCCATTTGTTGTCAATACTGCGTGGAGTTCAGACCCCCTGGGTGTGATTGCTGACGTGGCCTGTGTGATGAGGGGTAACCTTTCCCCCGTTTTGTGGGCTCATTCGGTGGGCCTGGAGGTTTACTGGCAGGGTTGACTACCCAGTAGTGGCACTGGTGATGTGTGAAATGCTGTGTGTGGCCGTGGCTGAAGTGGAGCTCGTCTCGTCTCACTGGGCTGTAGTTTGCTGATGCAGAGGATTACAAGCTGTTTTTACGTTGCTATGAAGGGTGGTCATTTCAACTACCAGACGCTGCTGGTTCGGTGGTTGTCTCCAACCGAAGTGGTGCCCTCACCTTCATCAGCGTTCATAATGCGCCCTTTGAGTTTCCGGAAGAGCTGTTAAAGAGGTACTTTGGCCAGTTTGAAGCTGTCGTGAGTGTGAGGTTAAATATGATTTCCTCTGGGAAACTCCTGGGCGTATGGATGAGTAACCGCACCTTGGGGATGCGGCTGCATGCGGACATCCCTTCCTCAGTGAGGCTTATGGGCTACTACATTCACGTCTACTATGAAAGGCAGCCACGCACATACTTCCGCTGTAGGTTGTCGGGCCACCTGGCTTCTGGTTGCTCGGCAGATGTCGTCACACAGGTTAATCTTTTTTGTGACGAGGATTTCCCGCCACTAGCTGTGGATGAGGACCCGGTGGGTGTGTCTGTGGATGAGCTCATGGTTTCCGTGCCACGTCCTGTGTCGAATGGGGTGCCTGCTCCTGGTGGGATTCGTGCGCCGGTGGCTGTGCGGTCGTCGTCTCCGTCTTCTGCGCCTGCCCCTCTGTCTTGGCCTGCTGCTGCTGTCTCTGCCACGCCGCTTTCACCGGCCGTGCTGAGGGATGGTGTGGAATCGGGGCCTCCTGCTGTGTTGGGGCCGGTCCCCCATGTCATCGCGGCTGCTGAGGTCCTGTGCCATGCGAAGGTTCGTCATCCCTGTGCTTTCCGTGCTTCAGGTTTTGCCTCCGTCTCTGACGACATGAAGCCGGATCCCAACCACTTGCAGCGTTCTTCTATTTCTGCCTGAGCTGATGAGGACTTTTTCGAGACTGCTGATGTTGATGGGGTGGCTCCTGGGGCTGCAGTGTCGACTGTGATGGTGGTAGCGGAGCTTCATGTGCCTGCTGCTGACGTCAGTGTGGGTGTCTCTGAGTTGGCCTCTGTATCTCCTCCTGCAGTGGGTTCCTCACTGTGGGGGGTGGTTCGTCCTCTTGTGGCGGATGGTGCGGCCCAGGGCCTTGTGATGGTCCTGAAGAAGGATGAAGGTTGTTGGGAGAGCTGTGCCAGTGCGCAGACCTGTGGGTGTTGTTCTGGATGTGTCTCCTGTGGAGTTGCCCCCTGTGGCGCCTCCTCGCATGGTACTGCCCACTGTGTTCCCCCCCCCCGGCCCCCCCCCCCCGGCCTCCTCCCCCCCCCGCCTCCCCCCCCCCCCCCGACAACACAAGGACCGGCAACATCCGGGAGTGCGGTTGTGCCGTCGGGGGTGTCGTGCCTGGATAACGATGTCCAGTCGGGAGTTGTCGTGTCTTGCAACGATGTCCAGTCGGGGGGGTGTCTTGTCTGGCGATGAAGTTCAGTCTAGTAGCAATAGTGACCAGTCCGTTGTAGCCGAGATTAATGACCAGAAAACCTACATATGGGACTGGGTTGGGCCACTCCCCCTGAGCCCGTCCACTATTTGGGTTCCTAGTAAGCATGTCTTCGTGTCCAAGATTACGGATGTTATGTCGCACCCTTGGGAACCTGCTCCGCTTTATATCAGGCTTATTGGAGGAGGCGTACTGCATCCATTTTCCGGTTGCAGACTTTCCGGATAAGTGCAAGTAAGTGTAGGCGTGGCGTTCATGCTTTTGCCTTCCATTGTTGTGTTTGCTGTGGGCCCATCAGCCCTGTGGTAATGTGCTTTAGTTTTTTCTCCAGTGTTTTTGTACGTTTCTGTGGTTTTTATGTAATTTTATGTACCTTTTGTTTACTTTTATGTATCATGTATCTTGTCTTGGTGTTTTATTTGTATATTGATGTTTGTGGGTCCGTGTTGGACTGGCCTGTATCATGTGTGGTGTTTAAGTTTTATGTTTCCTGTTTTGTGCCTGTTTCCTGTTTTGTGTCATTATGTGTCTTTGTGTTTGGGCGTTTGGTTGTGGGCCCTTCAGGCCTGTAGGTTTGTTCCCTTCTTTTGGGGTTGTATTGTGCTTCTGTGTTAAGTTTTTCTTTTGTGTTTTGTATTTTCTGTTTTTAGTTTATTGTACTTATTCGCATGTTCTACATGTAAATATAAATACAACATCTTGGGAAAGACAGGTGTAGGGGTGATGTCATTTCCTGTGTCTACGTCTTTCCCAACCTTACAATGTAGCCAGAGAAGTGTCTAACTGACCAAATTATGTCGAATTGCTAAAACAACAACAAAATCTGTGTTTGGAGCTCTCCACGGACTACAAGTGGTGGTGTTGGTGACGTATTCAGCATCTCCAGTACTTGTGCTTTGTTGCTGTTGCTTGATAGACGTTTGTTTAATGTGATAAAATGGTATTCAAATCGCCAAATTCAATTAGGAAACCTCAACTCCTACTTTTGGACAAATCCCTACTCAAAATGGAAGGAAAATGAAAACTAATGTAAACATTCTGGGGGGAAAGAAATCTTTTGATTCTGATGTTTCATCCCGCCGTTTACCTGCTCTTGCATAACCTGACAATTGGGATTGCAAAAATGACTTGTTGTCAAAACCAAAGAGCCACTTTGTAGGCGACAATAAGAATGCCCTACAGGACATGAACAAGACTCTCCCTCACCCACCCCCTCCAACACCCCTGACAGAACATACCGAGAGTAACCCCTTCAACCCTCCCCACACCCCAACAGGACATGAACGAGCCCGCCAACTTCGGCACCAACGAGCGCCAACCATGGAACTGGCTGGAAGGTTCGCTGCCCTGGAGCCTGACCTGCCCCAACTCCACCTGGGACGACCCTCCCTACGTCACTGCCGCAGTAACTGCATGGGGCCAGGGAAAGAGGTAAGAAGCCATTCCACTTTGCTTCGAAAATGAGACAAGTTGAAGGTGGATGATTGGCAAGGAAAACCCCTGAGGTATAAGGTGTTGTGGCATGAGCTCCTGAACTGCTGTTGTCCATATTCATCACTCGAAGGCAGTAATTTACATACCATTAATTTCCCTGTGTGCGTGTATTGAGTGTATTTGTGGGCGAGTGTATGTATATGTATGGATGATTTTGTGTATTTATGATGGAGTTAATGTAGAGAGTATGGATATGTATGGATGAGTGTACTCACCTAGATTTGCTTCCAGGGTTGACCTATGCTCCTAGCCCCGCCTTCCCAACGTTCTTAGATTAATGCAATGACTTATTTCTCACACTTGTATCCTATTTACAATTAAATTTTTGAATCGAAGTGGAAGTGGTCATTCGGCTTGGAATCTTTGCTCGAGTGTCAGATCAGTTACCAACTTGAATACTTCTCCTGGAAGCTTTTTTGTGAAGTTCCTCACAAACTTCCTTATCATTCCTCGTGTGTCTTCACTCCCATTATTTAAAGTCTAGATAACCTGGTCGTCCACAGTCGTCTTCCTCCTGATATGACTATGGAAATATTTTGGATCAGACTTCCCTCCGCATGTGGTGTCATTTTTTGCTTCTGTCACTTTCCCAGTTTGTGTGTATTCATTTCTGGTCTCTTTGTGTATAGTGTGATTTCCTACTGTTCTGTGTTCTCTATTGTTGGGGTGCCCGTATGTGTGTGGTTGGGTGCCCGTATGTGTGTGTTGTTGGGTGCCCGTATGTGTGTGTTGTTGGGTGCCCGTATGTGTGTGTGTGGTTGGGAGCCCGTATGTGTGCGTGGTTGAGTGCCCGTATGTGTGTGTGTGGTTGAGCACACATACATGCGTAGCTCACACACTTCAACGACTGGAAGTTGTACAGCGTAAAGCGAAAATGATATTTTCTAAACAAATAAATGACTCATGATTCCTGTTTAAAAGATTCTAATTTCATTCCAATGATACAAAATTCTTTCCTTTAATCGTGTAGTTAACTTATGGAGCAACTTACCAACTGATATCATTCTGGGTATAACTAATATAATTATGAGTATAACTCATATCATTCTGGGTATAACTTTATTATTATAGGTATCACTGGGTGTACACATGTTTATAAAATGCACAACTGTTTCTATTGAAAAAGCAGGTCCTTTACACCGTTGTCATGAAGGTCCCACAAAGTGTCTAGCTTGGATGCAGTGGTTTGTTCCCGCTTGAATCCTCTTGTAATTCTTTGTGATTGGTGGTGTTCCATCAGACTGTCGGAGAAGACGGTGTGCATGGTGGGGCTGCAGGGGGAGAGGAGAGAACTGCGGCATTACGACGTTCACAATCTCTACGGCTGGTCACAAACTCTGCCCACGCTCCTGTAAGTATACTCTGCCCACGCTCCTGTAAGTATACTCTGCCCACGCTCCTGTAAGTATACTCTGCCCACGCTCCTGTAAGTATACTCGACCCACGCTCCTGTAAGTATACTCGGCCCACGCTCCTGTAAGTATACTCGGCCCACGCTCCTGTAAGTATACTCGGCCCACGCTCCTGTTAAGTATACTCGGCCCACGCTCCTGTAAGTATACTCGGCCCACGCTCCTGTAAGTATACTCTGCCCACGCTCCTGTAAGTATACTCTGCCCACGCTCCAGTAAGTATACTCTGCCCACGGTCCTGTAAGTATACTCTGCCCACGCTCCTGTAAGTATACTCTGCCCACGCTCCTGTAAGTATACTCTGCCCACGCTCCTGTAAGTATACTCTGCCCACGCTCCTGTAAGTATGTTCGGCCCGCGCTCCTGTAAGTATGTTCGGCCCGCGCTCCTGTAAGTATGTTCGGCCCACGCTCCTGTAAGTATACTCGGCCCACGCTCCTGTATGTATACTCGGCCCACGCTCCTATAAGTATACTCGGCCCACGCTCCTGTAAGTATACTCGGCCCACGCTCCTATAAGTATACTTGGCCCACGCTCCAATAAGTATACTCGGCCCACGCTCCTATAAGTATACTCGGCCCACGCTCCTCTGAGTATACTCGGCACACGCTCCAGTAAGTCTACTCGGCCCACACTCTAGTTAGTCAATATACTACTATATAGATAAGTGGATAAATGCCCTCAATGTACAACGGTCACACCAATAAACTTGCGATCATGCATCAATTCCACGAAACTTATCTGATATCAGTCATAATAACTCACTGATACAAGTAGTCTCTCTCTCTTGCAAGCCGCAGGCATGCACGAGTTTCCCCTCTTGCTCATAGTAATGGAACGGAAACCTGCCAATTACTTGTCTAATTGCAGGGGGGGTCGCTTAACCGGCGAGCAACTCCCGGCACAATATGTCCCTGATTTTTCGGATGATCGGATATTTTAGCTTCCACACTGCTCCAATGCGCCATGTGTGTGTCTTCAGATATAATCCTCGGTGAATCTGACATCTTGATGATGTGTTTTTTAGGGAGCCGGTCGGCCGAGCGGACAGCACGCTGGACTTGTGATCCTGTGGTCCTGGGTTCGATCCCAGGCGCCGGCGAGAAACATTGGGCAAAGTTTCTTTCACCCTATGCCCCTGTTACCTAGCAGTAAAATAGGTACCTGGGTGTTAGTCAGCTGTCACGGGCTGCTTCCTGGGGGTGGAGGACTGGTCGAGGACCGGGCCGCGGGGACACTAAAAAACCCCGAAATCATCTCAAGATAACCTCAAGATAACCTTCCCGTGTTGGCAACCTGAATGATGAACCCTGGGAATCTTGTTAACGCTTTTTTTTTTATAATTGCTTGTCTCTCCTCTCTCTCCATCATACAGACACTCAGACACCTGCTCTAATGACAACTTGATCAATACATTTGCATTTCTCCTCCCATGCAGATTGATCAATATGCAGGCGATGAGTCACAATAACGTGGCTGAAGTATGTTCAGTCGAAACGTCGTCGTCCCTTCAATTTCTAGTGTATGGTTTGGTCAACAGATTTATCAATCATATGCCTTAACAGTGTCTTAGTTTTTAACCTAAAGGGTCAGCAGAATTTTTAATTTTTAACCCTAAATACTGTAACTAATTTCCTGCTTGCAGGAACAACCCTTCAGTGTTAGGGTTAATCCCCTCAGTCCTCACTACCCCCGTGGACCTTGTATAAATTTATTTGAAACTGTGAATTTACACTAATTTCCAATCTCCGGTATTTTAGTCCTGCAAAACTGACATTGAACATAAATTCTAATAAGAAAATTAATTGGAACCGTGCAGAGGATTCGAACCTGCATCATGGATGCTCCCAAGCATATGCCTCAAACCAGTGACTCATGTTACTCTACTAGTAAAGTAGCCAGGGATTCAACTGAACTACTGTACCACACTGGACTGTACATGGGTAATGTATACCACACTGGACTGTACATGGGTAATGTATACCACACTGGACTGTACATGGGTAATGTATACCACACTGGACTGTACATGGGTAATGTATTCCACACTAGACTGTACATGGGTAATGTATACCACACTGGACTATACATGGGTAATGTATACCACACAAGACTGTACATGGGTAATGTATACCACACTAGACTGTACTTGGGTAATGTATACCACACTAGACTGTACTTGGGTAATGTATACCACACTAGACTGTACTTGGGTAATGTATACCACACTGGACTGTACATGGGTAATGTATACCACACTAGACTGTACTTGGGTAAAGTATACCACACTAGACTGTACATGGGTAATGTATACCACACTGGACTGTACTTGAGTAATGTATAACAAATTAATTTAGTATCTTCTCGATGCCTCTAGTCCTCTTGTGGAGTCATTTAAATCCTGGAGTGAAAAAACTTCAGCGTATCGTGGTTCAGCGGTTTAGAGCGTGTGCTTGGGAGACCCTCTGCTGCGTGTTCATATCCTGTACGTGCTTCGAAGTTGATTATCTCATTGATACATAATGTGATTTCTTTGTGCATTAATTCTAAATCCTATAACTTAGACTTCTTAGTGATAAACTTTAAGATTTTATTCTAAAGCAACCCTAGAACTGATAATATCTCGCTGTTAAGGCTAAAACAGGTAATTAGTGCTCATTTGGGTGTCACTGTGTGCAGGGCGCTGCAGGAGGCGACGCGGAAGAGAGGTGTGGTGGTGAGCAGGTCAACCTTCCCGAGTAGTGGCAGGTGGGCAGGTCACTGGCTGGGAGACAACAGTGCTCTGTGGGCTGACCTCCGCAAATCTATCATAGGTCAGTTTCTAATATGTCAGTTAATAATATATGTCAGTTTCCCCTAATATGTCAAGTTCCATTAGTCAATGGATAAGTCACGTTACATTCTAGGCCATGTATCTGACTCCTTTGACATGACTGAACTTGTGTCTTTCTGTTGACGTTCTTAATGATATTTAAGGACTCTTGCATCTTCTGGTGTATGGGAAGTGCTATGCAGTATAGCCTCACGTAGCTCTGCGGGCTCTGCGCTGCATTCACTTGATAGACAAATATTTTCAACTAAGTGACTCACAGATGCTTTAGAAAAGTTAGACTTGCCAGACTCTACTCTAAACTCACTTGACGCTGGGGATGTGGACTGTACTCTCAGGATGTCAACACGAGAAAAACTTGGATATATAAATCTATATCAAAGAGAATATGTCTGCCTGTCTGTCCGAGGATGAAAGTCAGATACTTGCTGTTAGCCCTATGCAATTTTGCATGGTGATTTGTGATTGTACTGGTACCATTGGCACGTCGGGGTCGACACCCCCATACCTGTATTTAAGTACATCTGGCTCTTATTGCGACCACCATCGACTCCGATAAAGTTAATTTTTTTCCACAGTTTTCACCAGATTTTCTGAAGTTCGTGATACTCTCACAAATGTAGCTTTAATGTTGTTACAATGTTCCATCAAATTAACAATTGTAAAAATATCGTTATGATTACATTGCGTTTATGGGTACATATTGCGTTCTATGCTTCTATTTTCTTAGTATCAGTATTAAGAAGAACAATCATGTTACCAATATTCATGGTAAGGATATTTTAACGTGATAATTATCGAAGAATTTATTTGCAACAACGTTTCGTTCCTCTCTGGAGCATCTTCAGGTAGACAATAAATACAGAATGTTGTTGTTGTTTTAGATTCAGCTACTCGGAACAAAAAGTTCCAAGCAGCACGGGCTATGGTGAGCCCATCGTACTCACCTGACACAGGAGAGTACGACGGCTACAACACATTTTACCTGATGTGCAGATACAGAAGGTAAAATATTTGGCTAAATACGAAGGTGAAAGGATCAAGGGGGTGAGGAGAGGTGATGGGGTTAAACAGAGGGTAACGGGCTGATCACACATTGTCTGAGACATTGGGTAAACCTCTGGTACTCTCGGTGGGCGAGGAGACCTCAGTAGTGACGTCCTTGATGTTCGGTGATGTGCGGAAATGTTTGTCCGAGTGTAATTTAATAATATAATAAGGATGTTCCAGGATTTGCAATCTTCTTTGGTACAAGATTCCAGGAATTTTATACTGTTTTCCAGCATGTTCCCTCTAAATGCAATGTTATGTTTGACTGGTCCCGTCCCTTTACCGTATGTTTCATTGGCCCCAGTCACCTTTCCTCACACTCCCTTAATTCTTTCTCCTTTGTATTTAGCCCAATGTTTAACCTGCTGAATTCATTCTCTACCTGAAGATGTTCCTGAGAGGAACGAAATGTCGTTGCAAATAAATTTTTCGATAATTATTTTGTGTTTACTTGTAATATGAATGAAACTATTTTTCAACCGTTAGGTCTTCATCAGCAGCTAGGCTAGAGTGGAGTCGAGAGGGAATCAACGACCATGAGGTCACCCCCCCCCACCAGGTTGCCAAGTCCCCAAGGGAAACAGGTGACAAGAACACCTGGACAGTGTAGTTCAGGGGAGGATGATCAATAAGTATAAAGTCTTATAAAGAAAGAAAGTGTAGTTTAAAGGAAAGAAAAATAACTTTTGATAAATATTTTAAGACGTGAATGATCGATCAATATACCATTTATTTTTTTATATTATTTGTTTATCGAAATCGTGGATGCACTATTCAGCACATTAAGAAAAGTCTATTGATATTTGAATCCCAGGGCAAACGAAGATTAGTATGGTCTTCCACAGAGAAAGTACTGTCTTTACCAGTGATAAATTAAGGAAAATCTGCGAAAAGTGGAGAAGGAACAATTATTATTAATATCTAATCATCAAGAGCCATCAATATTCAGGGCTGCGGAATTACATAATCAATATAACCGTCAACCTAAACCTTTGATATACTAAGGACAAATCCTAATTCGTAGAGAGTTGGGGAAACCAAGTTAAAATCCTACCACCAAAACCCACCAGTATTTAGGGCTTCGAAAGTTTCATAAACCAAATAACTGACAAGGCTGGGAATTATCCAGCTTAGTTACGACCGTTGGTTTAGGTTGACGCGTATTTAGATTATGTAATTCCGCAGCCCCGAGTATTGGTGCCTCTTGAACTCTAGAATTCCAACCAGATTCTTCCCACTTTGATACAAGACGATTGGCCTAGAAATAGTATCTTGTTGATTTTCATTATTAATTCAGAGTAGAGGAAATCGGAGTTAATACTTTGAAGGTTTATCAAATAAAGCATATAAAAAAATTCGTATGATCAGTAATTAGCGGTCCTCGTCCAATTAGATAATAATCTCTACCTTGACCCACGGATGGTGGGTGAGAGAGGGGGGAAGTCGGTCACAACGAGTTTGGGAGACACATCACCCACCTGGAGCTCTCTACAGAGTAAACAGTAGGACGTTTACACCTCTTACGGGCTATTCACGCCCATGCCACCTCTTGGGTGGCATAATCTTCGTCAATCAATCAATTCCAAAATAATCAAGTGTTCGCTGGCAGGAGTTAGTCCCAGGACCAGTTCTCTGGAGGTGGGCATTAATAATGAGGTGCACCCTAGCTATGCACTGTCTGGTCCTCGTCTTCTCTGGGTTACTGATGATTATTGATGTTGCCAGACATTAAGAAGTCATCATACCAAAGAAATTCAGTTCTACTAACATAATTTAGATCATACAGTATAGTCATTAAATCTAATATATTGACTAACTCTGAATTTGTTCCTCTGGTAGTGGGCTTGTGGTCGTATGTCTTGGCCTTTCATGTTGTAAGGGTGTGGTTGTGTGTTTGTCTACAGTCAATCATCAATGAAGAGGTTGGAATAGGACTGAACTCAGAGCAGTAAGTCAACACTCTAATTTCTTCAGGTAACTATATAAACTGTAAGATCTGAATGCCATTAACTAACATTACAGCCTCCACCCCGCCCCATGGTGTGGGAGTTACTACCAACAAGTAAATTATGTACAGTATGCATTTTGAAGTAATAATCATATCACATGCATTCTCCCACACACGCTATTCAGTATTACTGATCTGTAAGAAAATAATTAGGGCTATGAAATTGGCTGCCAATGGGAAAAGGAATAGCTTCAGAAGGAAGGCATTACTGAGCATTCTCAATTTCTCAACACCGTTTTCATAAGACTTCAGTAAAATATTTGTGTGCTTACAATACAGTAATACTACGATTTGAATGTTATTTAACATGTACAATGATCTAAATACTAAAATGTAATCCAGTTTTCCAAGCTTACATTTTCATTTGCAGATCTTCATTGTTGTTTTTTTACATATTCATCATTTACATCAACCTGTTCAGAATGTTTTCTTTTATACCACTATACAGGCATGATAGAGTTCAACATGTTCGGGGTGCCGTACGTGGGCGCCGACATCTGCGGGTTCTTCGGGAACACGACGGAGGAGCTGTGTGAGCGGTGGATGGAGCTCGGGGCCTTCTACCCCTACAGTCGCAGCCACAACACTCTGGTAGCCTCCGATCATGTGAGTTTGTGGAAGACAGGTGGAAGGATAAATTGTAAGGATTCGAATGTGAATAGGCTTCATACACCCCTACACCATTCATAACATCTATAGGTGACATACACAATACAGGTATCAGCTGATGGGTCATGGTCACTGGACGTTAATGCGTTACGTCCATGTCGTTACTGGACGACATGGTCAAAAGAATTGCAACCTAGGGTACTACTGCACCCTCGAGGATTTCCGAGGCTTCCACTGAAACCGAACCAGGGTGTCACATAATTATCCCCATGCACTCTGGCTCTATCATCAAGCAGTTCTACTTCTGACGCCTCGGGAATCCTCGAGGGTGCAGTAGTACTCTAGGTTGCAATTCTTTTGACCATGTCGTTGCGTAGTCGAATAGAGCGAGCGTCTGGGAATATCCGGCGCATAGGTTAGTGTGCTCATCACTGCTCCTGTGGATTTTCTCGTTGATAATTCACGATAATGTTATTTTTCTCTGTATTTTGATTATTGTTATTGAGAAATGCTTTGGGAAGGGAAGGGAACTATCAAGGAAAAGCGCCAAGCCATTAGACTATATAGCACTTGGAAGGGGTCAGGATAAGGATTTGAGATGGCACGGGGGAGGCAAGGAATAGTGCCAACCACTTGTGGGAGGTCGGGGATTGAACGGCCACCTGCATGAAGCGAGACCGAAAATGAAAAAGATAGAAATGCTCTGGGGCTCTGATGTGACGTGAACCCGCGACCAAGGAACTGCCAGACACATTCTACCACTATACCATCGTGAATTAGTAAAATCCTAACAACCAGATTTCTACTGAAATCACAGTAAGTCTGGAGGCCTCTCCTGAAGCTAGTCCAAGTTTTATGTATGATCCCCAAGCACTCGGGTGTAGGAAAAGTATTTCAACACTGTACACCCTTGGTGTATGGTGTTGATGCCATTCATGTGTGCTTGTGGATCATACATAAAACTTGGACTAGCGTCAGGAGGAACCTCCAGACTTACTGGTATTTCAGTAGAAATCCGGTTGTTAGGCTTTTACTAAGTCACAATGGTACAGTGGTAGAATGTGTCTGGCTGTTCCTTGGTCTCGGACACGGAGTTCCAGTGGATTTTCTAATGAATAAATATCACATAAGTGTGATTTTCTTTGTGTTGTTACTATAATTATTTCCTATATATACTTCATTCAATGTGTGAATTTTTGTGTTACTAATTCCAAAGTCAAAGATAGCCGCATGAAAACATCGAGCTGACGAAAATTTAATTTGCTAAAGTTAAGGGTATTAGGCTGCGGCAGCCAACTGTCTAGAATTTCAAGTGTATAAAGTTTCAGTGCTAGTGACAAAGTTAGTTTAATTTGTTAATGCATTTTATAGTGGCAGACATTCTCGCTTATTAATATCAAAGGTGTCAGATTCAGATAGAGCCCTGTAGAGGTCGCTGAGGAGAGCGTGTGCCGGTGAGGGCTCTATTGTGATCAGTTTTGGGCACCGAATGAACAGTTGTCAGATGACGCAATTTTCTCGAGGGTATTGCCAGATGTGAGAGCATGGAAATTCACGCTGCCTTAAGAGTGCAATGTGAGTGCACGTCGTAGAGGACCCAGTGTGGATTCCGCCAAAGTGCGCAACGGAACTGTAATCCTGTCATCTGCCGAAGCACTTAGTACAGTCTTGTGAGGTATCTACAGAGAGCCTCGAGAAGACCACCGCACCTTTCTCTAGTAGTAGTGAGACGAGGCCTCCTGCAGCCACCAACACCTGTGGAGGAGTGCATCTCTCACAGGGTCTGTCTGTCTCTCTTTCTCTCTTTCATTCTTTCTTTCTCTCTCTCTCTCTCTCTCTCTCTCTCTCTCTCTCTCTCTCTCTCTCTCTCTCTCTCTCTCTCTCTCTCTCTCTCTCTCTCTCTCTCTCTCTCTCTCTCTCTCTCTCTCTCTCTCTCTTTCTTTCTTTCTTTCTTTCTTTCTTTTTTCTTTCTTTCTTTCTTTCTTTCTTTCTTTCTTTCTTTCTTTCTTTCTTTCTTTCTTTCTTTCTTTCTTTCTTTCTTTCTTTCTTTCTTTCTTTCTTTCTTTCTCCTCACACTAGATGCCGATACGACTACTTGAACTTCATGTAACCTCGCCTCAGGATATTACTGGTAACCCTTGCACTTGAAAAAAAAAATGCCTCAGAACGTCACTGGTAATTTAGTGAATGCAGGACATGCACGCGTCGGTAACCCTGCTGCAACAATGCAGAACCACACGGCACTTGGCACATCCCCCCTGATACTAGAAGTTCACCTTATGTTGTTCATCGACACTTGAAAGTTACTGACTCAGGACATGGAGTAGATGGAGTACGGGACACACTACGCTCCTCCGAGTCTTCACTGGCTACCATGTCTCCATGGTGGAAGGATTGCAACCTGGAATTTACATTGATCACGGTAACTCCTCGCTGATGACCAGGACTACACTATAACTTCGTACGTCTGTGTAGAAGGTGAAGAGGCTGTGAGGTAACCAACCACCAACTCAGTCCCTCCGCCCCAACCTGTCCTCGGGGATGAAATCTGCTCACAGGAAATAATTGAGAACTACTAAATATTTAGTGTCATTATCTACCCTCAATCCATGGTTAGGTTAGGTTAAGGTTTCGTAACATTTTGCTAGGTTTCATTACGTTTGGTTACGTTAATATGGTGTACTATTGAATATAATGTGAAATATAAATTAGAAAACTATTTGTGTAACCGAGAATGTCATTTACAGTGAACCAAATTCTCCAAAGAAAACTTCTTCAGCATACACTTTTTATATCTTAGAACCAAAGATTTATATACAATACAATTACAGCTTGACGGGATTCCTGGTTAAACCTTGAAGCCGAGCGGACGTCTGGACACCACCTCCGCCTGCGAGCCGCTTGATTACGTCTTGCTTTCGCGTTTTAGCTTTGCTACTGCCGTTTGGCATCCCTTTTCAGCGGTCCGATTGTCCGACGCCTGGCGCACATATCGCCTTGGGTCACAGGATTGTTGATAGATTTTTGTTTTGACGTGTATTGTCTGGTTCTCCCGGCGGGGTGACGGTGTTCGGGGGCCGGCTTGGCCGAGAGGTGCTGGGGGTTGGTGGGTCTTGGTGGGCTCCTGGTGTGCCCCTCGGTCGTGGTGGACGGCTGGTTTCTGCTCTGCTGGAGGACGCTGGATGACTTTTGCGTTTCGGTTGGAGGCCGAGTTTTGGTTTTGCTACCTGGTGTTCTCTGTGTGGGCGGAGCCGGTGCTTGTCACCCTGAGGGACTCCTGGGACTCCCCAATCATCTGCCTGACTGTACGTTTATTTGCCGTATGGCATATTAGTTTTTAATGATTGGCGTCACTCGTTTTGCGATTTGGCTTGGCGTTTCACCTTTCCTGGCTTCGCGATTCACCCTTAACGGGTACGCCGGGGCGCATCCGACCCCACGATCGTCGTCGCCCCTAAATCATCAACAACAACAACATTACAGCTTGACAATAATCTTTGTTTAGAATTAAGGTTCACTTGTCAGTTTACATGTTGACTGTTACTGGAACTCCAATATACCTTCAGACCATGATAAATATCTAGATAACTAGTCAGGTGGTTTGACCAGCAGGGGAAGGGGTTCCCACATGGTAATGCATTTGGTTTGAGGACAGGCTCCTTAGCCCAGCCGTTCAGGTTGACACTGATGACCCCAGATCATCAAAGGTGTCAGAGTTGTAACTTACTGCAGAATTTGTCATCGAAAACTATACCCTCCTGGAAGCTCTATTAAGTCATTCCTTCAGAACTTGTTCATCTTTTTATACTTCGACATTTCGTACCCGTGAAATACTACAATTTCTGGAAGTCAACCATGTCACGTCCTTTCCGACCGACTCTTCAAAGTCTAGTGCCGCCTCGGGCAGCTGACCACCACTCAGATGCCTCCAACGTGTCACATAACCCCTGGGTTACTTCCTCGTTGGTCAATGCTGCTTGCAAGCGCCCAATCATATTACTGTATCACATCTAGGGAACCCAATGTTATCGTCCTGCCCAAATTCTTGGCGTGAATCTCTGTTGCGGCTCCCGCCGGCAGCCATATTAGAAAACTGACTAGGCTTCTCCTCTCGTGCGGAAACAATAAATTGTATTTTACTTTTAATGTCAGGCTTCTTGCCTGCTTACAAACATGCTTGCAGTGAACATGGCGCCGTCTTAAATATATACCGCACAGTTTGACTCTTACCAGGTATAAATACTCGTAATATTGATGAACATTTATAAAATACCTAATGACTATTATATAAAGTTTCACATGAATGATCCTCTTCAAGACAAGTCGCCCCCCACGACCCTGAGCTTGTCTCCGAACTGCAGGTGCCCACCAGACTGTAGGTGCCCACCAGACTGCAGGTGCCCACCAGACTGCAGGTGCCCATCAGATTGCACTGTGCCCTGACCATGACAGTCTCAATGTTTTCTCTCACAGGACCCTGGACTGTGGCCGAGCGTGGCAGCTTCAGCTCGCACAGCCCTGCAGGTGCGGTACACCCTGCTCCCCTACCTCTACACCCTACACTTCCTCGCCCACACCCAGGGCCACACCGTCGTCAGGGCGCTATTCTTCGAGTAAGTTGACTGATCTCTCCTTACTCAGTAACTACCGCCGTGATGTTCACCTTGCATGTTGATGATCACTATCCAACCCTCTCAGCGCTCGCCCCAAACTTGTTCCGGCCAGCTTTAGATACTGTTTCTTTTAACTTTCAGTTAGAATAAGTGCTTTATCTTCTTGCCTATAAACTACCACCCTCTAATTATTAATGAACTGGACAGTAGAGCGATGGTTTCGCTTCATGTCGGTCGGAGTTCCATCCCCGACCGTCCTAGTGGTTGGGCGCCATTCCTTCCCCCGTCCCATCACCAATCCTTATCCTGACCCCTTCCCAGTTCTATATAGTCGTAATGGCTTTGCACTTTTCTCGGAGAATGTCTTCTAATTATTATGGTCAAAGTAAGCAAATATTTGTTTAGTTAAATAAACAACAGAGCAGCATAAGTAGTTTGGAAGTGCAGTGGACAACGTCGACGGTTTACAATAGTTGTATAAACCCTCTATAACAGACGGCTTATAAATCGATGCCCAACCGAGATGGCTGACAGCTGAGTGATTGATTGATTGATGAAGATTAAGCCACCCAAAAGGTGGCACGGGCATGAATAGCCCATAAGTGGTGGCCCTTTTGAGCCATTGCCAGTATCAAGAGCTGATACTGGAGATCTGTGGAGGTGTGACTGCACCCTGCGTGACGGGAGATGTCTCCCGTCGACAGCTGAGTGGACAGCGCTCCGGACTCGTAGTCCTGAGGTTCCGGGTTCGATCCCCGGTGGAGGTGGAAACAAATGGGCAGAGTTTCTTTCACCCTGATGCACCTGTTCACCTAGCAGTAAATAGGTACCTGGTAGTTAGACAGCTGCTACGGGCTGCTTCCTGGGGGGTGTGTAACATAAAGGAGGCCTGGTCGAGGACCGGGCCGCGGGGTCGCTAAGCCCCGAAATCATCTCCAAGATAACCGTGCTGCCCGAGTTACAACCCAGACAGGACAGTTAAGCAGCGTTACCGTTCATCTGATGCCCCTGTTCACCTAGCACCTAAATAGGTTCTCGGGAGTTAGACAACTGTTGTGGTTTGCATCCTGGGAAAAGTCAGCAGTGTTCCAAGGAGGGATGGAGGGTGGTGGGGGGGGGGGACATCGATAAGCCTAATTACAAACTTATTGTCCCCTACCTCGGAAAATATTGTCTTTGTTCTGATCTATTGGCTAATTGTTCTAACTATATATGTGGCTCAGCACCTGTGTTCTTGTTTAGTTTGGTACTTAAGGTGTTTGGTAAGTAAGTGTTGGGCTTAACGCGCGTCAACCTCTGGAAGGTTATGGAGGCGACCACAATAGTTTACTGACCAACCCCCAAATAAATTCTCCGGGTGTATATATATATATATATATATATATATATATATATATATATATATATATATATATATATATATATATATATATATATATATATATATATATATATATATATATATATATATATATATATATATATATATATATATATATATAATATAGGTAAGAAGCAGGAGTATACGCTTCAGTGTATATAAACCCTGGTTTTTGGTATTTCGTGCGTCTATTATTGCTTGTGTTGTCGTGTTTATAGTGCGAGGAAAACTTATCTTGAAATTTGCTGTATTTTACCTGAATTTACCTAAAGACAAGCATCTGTGGTGGCTTCCACTGGGGCTGGCAGGTCTCCCCTTCATTCTTCCTAAGCATTCTGTTCCAGTTGTAATTTGAACTGAAGCATTAATTGTCTTGGCATATATGGGTTTAGCGGATCACAGAATCCCCGGCCTGATGACCTTGTATGTGAAGAGATCATTAACTGTTGTCTACATCTCATTAACTCTGGTCTGTGCTGCAGTGTTGTTCATCTTGGCAGTATTGCATCTTGCAAATCACGTGGGGACGTTTGTAACAACAGGCAGGCTGGATTAACGTATTTTTAATTCAGTATTTAACATTCTCTATATTTGGTTTGGTTTGGTGAGGGATTCGAGGCTGGTCAACCATGGACGGTTATGTTAGGTCACCACCAGAGGTTACTCAACCAGCGACAAGTATAATTTACTTCACTCCCGAATTATGTTCAAAACTGAACACTAGTGTGGTTTATATTCACAGGGTCATTAAGGCCACCATAAGAGATTACTGACCAACGAGCACGATAGCCATATATCCCTTTCTTGTCACTAAATATTCAGCTGGTCGCTTGTTCTACCAAGTTTTCTTTAAGTGTCCCAGATGAAGTCTGTCGGGCTTTTCGAAGTCCCCCCTTAGGCCAACAACTGACGTTCCAAGGGATGCAACCCACGACAGTCGATTCCATCCGGGTATCCGTTTATTGGCAGGTGAACGTAGGTATTAGATGTAAGGAAACCTGCCCAACCGTCTCATTCTACCGGGAATCGAACTCTGGTCCATACATAGTTATGAGCCGACTGCATTGACCACTATTAATGTAAACCTGTTTTAATTCATTCTCTGGTTAACTTTAAGTTGTTTGCTCGCAAATATTTCAGATTTCCCGATATCCCAGACACGTGGGAAGTCGACGACCAGTTCCTGTGGGGTTCGTGGCTTATGGTCGCCCCCGTCGTTGAGCCCGTAAGTTACGTTTTCTTTTTGTATGCTGTAATCTGAGAAAACGATGTAACCTTTAAGGTTTACTATGCTATACTATTCTGTACTAATCACTTACATTTTCATTATGGTAACGAATTAACGACAGTACTCACATAATTGTGCTTGCGGGGGTTCAGTTTAACATCTTTGCTTCAGTCTCTTGACCTTAAGTCAATTTATGTGCAGGTTCCCGATCATGTTTTGAGGCTCTGCTTATAGTGTGTTTCATGTGAGAAATTCCATGCCAGAAATGGAATTATGTCAAAGGATGTATTTGTTCTGCATATTTGTAAAAACACACACACACACCAGCCCGTCCTCATAAACAATGTCCAAAGTCCATTCCATGCACCCGGCCAAAACCCCCTGTTTATGAATGAAAAACGGTTTAAACACGACTCACAACTGATGACGTTCGAACACTTCCGGAACAAGTGCTTCGCTGACGACTATTGTTGTCGTCAGCGAAGGCCAGAAGCAGGATACCGAATGGGAGATGAAGTCCTTCATGAAATGGACAGAGAGAAACATCTAGGAGTTGATATCACATCAAACTTGTCTCCTGAAGCCCACATTAAAAGAATAACATCTACGGTGTATGCAAGGCTGGCTAACATCAGAACTGTCTTCAGGAACCTGTGCAAGGAATCATTCAGAACCTTGTATAACACATATGTAAGACCAATCCTGGAGTATGCGGCCCCAGCATGGAGCCCGTACCTTGTCAAGCACAGGAATAAGCTGAAAAAATTTCAGAGGTATGCCACTAGGCTAGTCCCAAAACTAAAAGGCATAAGTTACGAGGAAAGGCTGCATGCACCTAACGTCGCTGGAAGATAGGAATGAAATGCATTCCATTCAGTGATGTGGTGGAGGCAGTGATGTGGTGGAGGCAAACTTCATACATAGTTTCAAATGTAGATATGACAGAGCCCAGTAGGCTCAGGAACCTGTACATCAGTTGATTGATAGTTGAGAGGCGAGACCATAGAGCTAGAACTCAACCCTTGCAAGCTTAACTAGGTGAGTATAGGTACGACCACCCTATAGGCTTAAGGCCGCCATAATATCGTCATCACGATAACAAAGAAACGTCGTACGTCGTCCCAAGACAGCTTCCTCACACGTTGAACACGCAGCCTTCGCTCAAACTCCTCACCATGAGCTATAACTTCCTTCTTCACAGGAGGTAACGTCACGCACGTCCGTCCTCGACGACTCTCCCAACACGAGTGACTCTTTACCACCTCCGCCCATGTCACGTCTCATAACATAATGTCGACATCTTATCTTACCTCGTTTCCTTAAGATGCTTGCTTGCCCTCTGCTTTCATTCTCCTCGGTCATAACTTACTGATGTTTACCTTAGTTTAATTCCTTCCCCAGACTCCTAAATCCAGTCAGATAGGGAATAACTCTCACAAGGCAGACTTACCTCATAAGGCTGGCTGGGGTTCATAACACAATACACTGAGAGATGTGTCCAGTTTCTCGGTTACCTTGAGGTGGTTTCGGGGCTTAGCGTCCCCGCGGCCCGGTCCTCAACCAAGCCTCCAAATATACCTCCAAACCAGGTATATACACTAAAAGTTACTTCAGTTGTGGACAAGGTTCAGTAAACTACCGAAGGGGCGTAATACGCCTCCCGGCGTTGGTAGGCCTCAAGCCCAACACCAAACAAGAAACATCTAATATCCTTCAGCTCTAATTTGATCTTGTTAAGCCTCAGAATTCACAGTTCAGTTCTGTTCACCGTACCCCGGAATGTATATACATTCACTCAACTGTATAATAGATTATTATAAAGTTATCTCCAGGACTTAGTAACCTTGGGCATGAAAATGTTAATGCAAATTATAAGTGTTCTTTTGTAGAAATGTTAAGGACATGATGTATGCCTATGGATGACGGTCAGGTAGCGCAGTGGGCCACGTCGCCGGCACACAATCTATGCTCAAGGGTTAAATTTCCCATTTTGGGTTCGTTTCCTTTCACCTCATGGCTCTGTTCACTTAGCAGAAATAGGTACCTTGGAGTTAGGTAACTATTGTGGGTTGTAACGTCGGGAAGTCGAGAAGGTCAGCAGTTGACTTTAGAAGGGCTCAATAGTTCAAAGTGCAGGCTTCCTGTCCCCGACAACGGCAAATCAAACAATGGATATAGTGATAAGGTGCAAAAATGTGAACACGGACAGAACACTAAACAATAAATATAAAAAAATTTGTTTAAGAAATTTAACCAAATGGATTGTTTCAAGCTTCAGGTTAAAGGTATATGTACGAGTGAGCTTTGTTGTGTGTGAAGCAAGTAAGAGGTTCTTTGTATGGGCCCCAGGAGATCTTCGGCAGTTTTACCTGCTGTCATCTGATGAGTTGATGGGCACCTGATAGGTCTGTGAACACCTGATAGATCTGTGAACACCTGATAGGTCTGTGAACACCTGATAGGTCTGTGAACACCCGATAGGTCTGTGAACACCTGATAGGTCTGTGAACACCTGATGGGTCTGTGAACACCTGATAGGTCTGTGAACACCTGATAGGTCTGTGAACACCTGATAGGTCTGTGAACACCTGATAGGTCTGTGAACACCTGATAGGTCTGTGAACACCTGATAGGTCTGTGAACACCTGATGGGTCTGTGAACACCTGATAGATCTGTGAACACCTGATAGGTCTGTGAACACCTGATAGGTCTGTGAACACCTGATACGTCTGTGAACACCTGATAGGTCTGTGAACACCTGATAGGTCTGTGAACACCTGATAGGTCTGTGAACTCCTGATAGGTCTGTGAACACCTGATAGATCTCTGAACACCTGATAGGTCTGTGAACACCTGATAGGTCTGTGAACACCTGATAGGTCTGTGAACACCTGATGGGTCTGTATACAGCTGATAAGTCTGTGAACACCTTACAGGTCTGTGAACACCTGATAGATCTGTTGACGTGTGTTCCAGGGGCAGACGTCTCGTGGAGTGTACTTCCCGCCGGGTGTGTGGTACGACTATTACACCGTGAGTAACACACCTGTATGTTACGTGTTCACTAAGAATGTTTACCTGTAAGAACCGTTCACTGAACACATCAGGGGTTAATGAACAGCCATTAAGATTGATAAAGATTAAGCCACCCCAAGAGGTGGCATGCACGGGCATGAATAGCCCGTAAAACAGCCATTATGATGGGTTGAGTGAATAATTCTGATATTAACGTGTTTATGATAGGCTCTACTTTGATGTATAATCCCCTTACATCCCCTTTAATCCGCTTTAATCTCCTTCAAGAATGTGTAATCTCCCCCTTACATCCCCTTCAAGAATGTGTAATCCCTTTATATCTTAGTCTTTTCAACTTGCATATTAGATAAATTATAATTGATAATTTGCTTGCACGTGGTGTCTAGGGCGTGGCGCTGAACGTGACGGAGGGGAGGAGGGTGACGAGGGCGGCTCCCCGCCCACACATCCCTGTGTACCTGAGGGGCGGCGGGGTCTTGGCCACCCAGCCGCCCAGGGCCAACACCAAGCTCGCAAGGTCAGTGTTACGTACTCCTAGCAGAATACGTATATAAATTTAAAATAAATATTATTTTATTTTATCATTGCATGTATATGTACACACATTGTGTTTTGGGTAAATTGTCGTGTGGTTTGGCAGCGTCAGTGGACAGGAGAGCGGTTGTCTCTGCACACGTCTATTACTTGATTGATACGGGAAAGCTGGACCTGTTCAGTTTGAGAGTTCCAGATGTCACTTTTATTTAGTTAGGAAATGTTTTATATACTGTAATTAAACAGGTGTCATTGTACTTATATATTTTGTAAGTAACTATTATATGTAACTTGCAGTCTTATGTGTTTTGAGAACAAGTGGTTGTTCAATTAGTTTATAATATTAAAAAGTCCTTAGTTTCCATCCCTCATCCTGGGATGAGGCAGACGGGAGGTGAGAATGTGGGTGGCGACAGAGCGAGAGTTCAGTAGCTTCGGGGAACTGGGAGGAGGAACAAGTGGGAGATAAGTCTGTTATTATTCATTTGTTGCCATAATTACTATTATATATATTGTGACATGACTATACAATCATATTCTATAAGTTAACTTTACCATCTGTGTTTATATTATACTGTTTTGAATATATAGCTATCATATTGTGTATCTATTCTTCAGTCCTAAACGAAGATTGTTAATTATGTGCTCATTACCTATTAAGGGGTTATACTGGTGATTCGCTATTGAGAACAGCAGTTGTGTCGTATCCCTAGACTTATTAAAATTTGGCTGCTGTAGGATCACGAGCCGTAACGTACGATAGGTAACAAAGAGTTATGGGGGCCTGTCCGGGAGATATTGTCCCACTTAACTTAACTATGCTAATCTAACCTTGCCTTCCTAGGTACCAGTGTCAAGTGTCTCTGTGTGTTTCTTAAGAACTATTCCATGTGCCAAGCAAGCCTTCCTGTGTGTCAAGTAACAACGTTTCACGATTTTGAGGTAAGTCATCCTATATATTTTGTTTGTGCAGTGAGGCCAAGCGAATTTTCAGTGTGGTGACAATTTTACAGTGAAGTGTAGTGCAGTGCCATTGTGTTAATTATTTTTGTGAATCAAGTGCCAAGTGTTAGTAACGATGGAGGAGAAAGTTGCAGCGTTGGTGGCTCACCCAGACTTTGAAGGGATTCAGAACCTTAAAAAGACTGAGTTAATACAAATGGCAAATCATTTGGATTTGACCGCCAGCAATAGAATGGTTAAAGCCCAAATATTGAAAGTCATTGTGACGCATTTTGTTGAGAATGGGGAATTAGAGGAAGAAATTCTAGAGGAGTTAAGAGAGGAGTCGAGTGATCAGATGACGTTAAAGCGTCTTGAGTTAGAAGCTCGCCAATTAGAGCTTGAAGCTCAAAAAGAACAGAAAATATTAGAGGCTGAAGCTCGTCAAAGAGAGATTGAAGCTCAACAGCAACAGCAAATATTAGAGGCTGAAGCTCAGCAAAGGGAGCTAGAGACTAGGCGTTTAGAAATTGCGGCACAAAACCAGAGAGGTTTAATTGAGTTGCAACTTGAAGCCACAAAGAAGCAACAATTAGAGATTCAACAACAAATGGCTGACACTAACTTCAGGCTTGAATCACAGCGTATGGCAGCTGGGCATGGAAATACTAGTAATGTTTCAACAAATAGTGATAATAATCCCATCAGGATGAATAAGTATATAGAGTTGCCCAAGTTCAATGAGGAAGATCCTGAGGTTTTCTTTGCACATTTTTATAAAATTGCCATCAGTATGAACTGGCCAAGGGATCAGTGGGTAGCCATTATGCAGTCTCAATTTAAGGGGCGTAGTCAGGAGGTTTTCACATCCCTACCTGACGCTCATAGCTTTGATTACGAATTTGTAAAGAAAAGCATCTTAAATGCTTATCAACTAAATCCAGAGGCACACAGGCAAAAGTTCAGAAATCTAAGGAGGACAAGTGATCAGACAATAGCAGATTTTACTCGTCAGAAGACGAAATTTTGTAACAGATGGTTAAAGTCACTTGCAGTCACTGATTTTGATGCTCTAAAGAATCTTCTTATAATGGAAGAAGTATTGTCATGTCTCCCAGACCAGTTGTCTACTTTTATGGCAGAACAAAAGAATGTAACAGACATTGATGAGCTGTCAAAGCTCGCGGATGAGCATGAGTTGTTGACTAAGGCCCCGTTTACGGCCACTTCACCTAAGTCTAGTCGTAGAGTAAATTATAATGCTCACCGAACTCCTTATCAGAATCCATCCAGTCCTAGTACTCCAGTTACTCCCATGAGCTCTTCTCTTACAAAATCTAACCCTGCTACTTCATTGTCAGGAATGTCAAATAATAATAAGGTTATTTCTAAACCTACAGTTGGTTCTACCAGTGTGTCCACTGTAAGGTCCTGTTCCCATTGTAAGAGAAAAGGCCATGGAATTCATTCATGTTTTATATTGCACCCTGAGTTACGACCCACTGGTCTCATTTATTGCAGAGGTGTGCAAAATAAACTTACTAATAAACATGTAACTGTAAACCCCAATTGGGTGAAACAGTATTCACCATATATGTCTTCAGGTGAAGTTTTGTGTATTAATGGGAAGTGGAAGCCAGTGGTTATTCTTCGTGATACAGGTGCTTCCCAAACCATAATTTCATCCAGTATTCTTTCTGATGTTGAAAAGAAAGAGACAGGAAAGTTTGTTGTTCTTCAGAGTGTTGCAGGATGTAAAACTGTACCTCTAATAGACATTAATTTCAGATCCACCATTACACCACGTTTATGCACTGTGGGTGTTAGTACACAGTTGCCCATCCCAGGTGTGGATGTTATATTGGGTAATGATGTGGCCATAAATCATGTTGTGGGTGAGAATGATCCCCGTTTGTGTAAACAGCCAGTTGCAGCCCATGTTTATTCTGCCTGTGCTGAAGTTAGTTCTATGAATGAACCTGTTGTAGAAGATGGTTTTGTCCTTTCTACCTGTGCTGATGTCAGTACTAATATAAATCCAGTTGTCAGTTCTGATGTTGTTACTCAAGCATTTGTTCCAGTAACCAGTACCCCTTCAGTGGAGAAGTGGGATGTGGTTGTTCCAGATTCCTGTGTGGCCGATTTAGTTGTTGAGAGTAAGCTTGATACTATGACTCTGCTTTATTCCAATAAATTGGGAAAGGATGTCCATGTACCATTGTCTTGCCCGCTCACTACGAACGTTGTGCCAGGAGTTGAGAGAAACTTAAAAGCCACGACTCTGTATTCCAGCCAAGTGAATGGTTTAGGACAAGATGTCGGGTTGGCAGAAGTATTCCCGCTCACTCCAAGTTTAGAATCAGTTGTCGAGAGTAAGTCCGTTGTAGAGGCCCCGCCTCACCCTAGTCAAGGTGATATAATAGGGGAGGAGGTCAAACTACCTGTTACTTGCCCGCTCGCTTCAGATTCCTTTCATTTATGTGCTTTGAGTAGAACTGACCCTAAGATTTCAGAGAGAAGCAAGGAGACAGTCTGTACTGTAGATCCAGTTTTGGAGAGTGTGGGAAAGCAGCCAGAGGATCAGCTTCTGTTGAGTAGATGGAGACCCATTGAGCCTCCCTCTTCAGTTGTCTGTGAGGATGTGACCCAGCTTGGTAGTGATATTGTTGATTGTGAGCAGACAGTACTCCAAGCAGCTCCAGAAGTCATGGGAGGAAATTTTGGTAAAATCATTAAGAGTGGTAAAGCAGCATTTGGATCTAAGTTGCGGAGTCGTGATTCTTATTCTATGTGGAGGAAGTATTTCTCATTGTGTACATTGAGTCAGAGTGTGTGTAGGATGTTGAAATCTACTTTTATTCTGCAGGAGCCATTTTCTTGTGAAGTAATGGACTGTGGGACATCTTTGTCAAGCCTTGTGGTTGAGCAGAGAGAGTTTACTCAAGTAGGTTGTGCATCCAGTTCTGAGGAAGTGGTGAGCTATGCTAGAGCAGTGTCTCTATATTCAGATCCAGTTAATTTTGATGCACGAGTGATAAAAGTGTATGTTCCACTCAAGTGTGGTGTTGATTTTCAGAATCATATTGTGGGTGAAGGATTAAATCATACTGGGGAGCAGATGTTTGAGGCTCCAGGTGTGCAATTCAAGTTGGAGGATAAGGTTATCCTACCTAGAGTTAATCATTGTGAAGGGTTTCAGATTGTCCTTGGGCGTTTTCCAGGTAATCTGCTGTTCATCTTCAAGATGTTAAGACCCTTAAACCTCTTGGTTGATTGGTTGTCATCAGACGTAAATCACTTGGGAAGTGATGGTGAGGATTGTAACGTTTTCGGCATGTTTTATTTAGTCTCTTGGAAGACTAGACGGTTGATGAATGTGTGTGTTGTGTTCAAGTTCACCATCAGAGGGTGTGAACTTGTCTTGAGAGTTATGATTGAGATATGGTGCCTAGGCATATGCCTGTTTTCTTTCACTGATCGTTATGACAGAGTTATGAGGAAATTGATTTCTGTGTTCCTTATGGATCATCTGAGTCAGTTCGATCAGGTAGTCTTTGCACTTATCTTGGGTTGTATTTCTTGGTTGGAAGGTCAAAGGTTTGATAAGTCGGTGTCTTGTGTTTCGGAAGGTTCTATGAATGGGAAAGTCTTATGCATAATTGTGAGGTTTAATGCTACTTTCTCTAATTTTAGTATCCATTGGGCGAGAGTATGTGTTCCACAGAGGATCAAGAGTGATGAGCAGATGTCTGTGTCAGAGCATACCCAGGAGAAGTCCCAACTCAACTCAACATACAGCCTGCTTCACTTAAGCAGTTCAGCTCCAGAAAAAAGGAGTAATGGAAAGTGGAGGCTGTCTTGGGAAAATTCACCATGTGGAAAAGGAATCACATGGAAAAATGAAACTGATCTTGGAGAAATAGTAGAAACATATGAAAAACTAAATTGCCATGATAACTGTGTGAAAGCAGCTACCTTTATTGACAATTCTATTCATGCTACTAATGATACTGTTGTAGATAGGTGTGTGAAATATGATCTAAAACAAAGTGAAATAAATGAGATAGTACCTTGGAGAGATAAATTTGCATACTCCAGTGACACATATGTAGAACATAGTCATAAGACTGAAATTTCTGAGTTTCCTGTAAGACTATATTTGGAGTGTTTTCATTTTTGTCCAGAAATGTGTTCTTATTACTTATACATGTTTGGTGTAATTAATACCATAAATCTCAAGTGTCATACATTTTACTTTGAAAAAATGCCATTGATCTTCAATCTATTGCATTTTTTTTCTTGGAGGTGGAAGTGTTACGTACTCCTAGCAGAATACGTATATAAATTTAAAATAAATATTATTTTATTTTATCATTGCATGTATATGTACACACATTGTGTTTTGGGTAAATTGTCGTGTGGTTTGGCAGCGTCAGTGGACAGGAGAGCGGTTGTCTCTGCACACGTCTATTACTTGATTGATACGGGAAAGCTGGACCTGTTCAGTTTGAGAGTTCCAGATGTCACTTTTATTTAGTTAGGAAATGTTTTATATACTGTAATTAAACAGGTGTCATTGTACTTATATATTTTGTAAGTAACTATTATATGTAACTTGCAGTCTTATGTGTTTTGAGAACAAGTGGTTGTTCAATTAGTTTATAATATTAAAAAGTCCTTAGTTTCCATCCCTCATCCTGGGATGAGGCAGACGGGAGGTGAGAATGTGGGTGGCGACAGAGCGAGAGTTCAGTAGCTTCGGGGAACTGGGAGGAGAACAAGTGGGAGATAAGTCTGTTATTATTCATTTGTTGCCATAATTACTATTATATATATTGTGACATGACTATACAATCATATTCTATAAGTTAACTTTACCATTTGTGTTTATATTATACTGTTTTGAATATATAGCTATCATATTGTGTATCTATTCTTCAGTCCTAAACGAAGATTGTTAATTATGTGCTCATTACCTATTAAGGGGTTATACTGGTGATTCGCTATTGAGAACAGCAGTTGTGTCGTATCCCTAGACTTATTAAAATTTGGCTGCTGTAGGATCACGAGCCGTAACGTACGATAGGTAACAGTCAGCACACTCAGCACAGGCTGCGAGAGAGAGAGAGCGAGAGCGCGCGCGCGAGAGAGAGAGAGAGAGAGAGAGAGAGAGAGAGAGAGAGAGAGAGAGAGAGAGAGAGAGAGAGAGAAAACAAGAGGGAGAGAGAGAGAGAGAACGAGAGGGAGAGAGCGAGAGAGAGACATATTATGGAAAAATAATGTGATAGACTATGAAAAGGAGGTAAACAGAGTCGTTTAAATTTTTTTGATTATTAATTAAGAAGAAACTTGCCATAATCTTGAAATTATTGCTCGTTGGAGCCGCATTAGGAGCGCACTATCCCATTTTTATCGCCTCTCCTGCTCCTCACTCCCATTACCTCTCTGCTCGTGGATTATCTTAGAGCGTCACCGTCCTGCTTCTCTGCCTCTTAGCCGGACTCTCCTGGAGCTCTGAATACTTTCTGACGACCTATTTTGTCTCCCTTGGTCAGGACTGAGCCCCTGGGACTGATCGTATCCCCGGACTGGGAGGGTCGAGCTACCGGGACGTTATACTGGGATGATGGAGAATCAATCGGTGAGTGATGCGTTTATCTCGCCTTCTCTCTCTCTCTCTCTCTCTCTCTCTCTCTCTCTCTCTCTCTCTCTCTCTCTCTCTCTCTCTCTCTCTCTCTCTCTCTCTCTCTCTCTCTCTCTCTCTCTCTCTCTCTCGTGTAATTCTGAAGATATTTTCACAGTAATGCTAATGTTTGTCCTTCGACTTTTTCAGGAAATTTATAAATTGAGATCAAGCATTAGTTCAAAAATATTTTACCTCTCGCCTGAGTCTTGACATAATACAAGGCAGTAATGTTTGGCCTCACAGCACTATGACTTTGTCCTTTAATTAGCTCCTGCAAGAGAGCACATCTGGCGTTGTTTATGGGGCATACATGGCGCAGGTTATGGGGCATACATGGCGCAGGTTATGGGGCATACATGGCGCAGGTTATGGGGCATACATGGCGCAGGTATGGGGTATACATGACGCAGGTTATGGGGCATACATGACGCATGTTATGGGGCATACATGGCGCAGGTTATGGGGCATACATGGGCAGGTTATGGGGTATACATGACGCAGGTTATGGGGTATACATGACGCAGGTTATGAGGCATACATGACGCAGGTTATAGGGCATACATGGTGCAGGTTATGGGGCACACATGGGCAGGTTATGGGGCATACATGGGCAGGTTATGGGGCATACATGGCGCAGGTTATGGGGTATACATGGCGCAGGTTATGGGGCATACATGACGCAGGTATGGGGTATACATGACGCAGGTTATGAGGCATACATGACGCAGGTTATAGGGCATACATGGTGCAGGTTATGGGGCATACATGGCGCAGGTTATGGGGTATACATGGCGCAGGTTATGGGGCATACATGGGCAGGTTATGGGGAATACATGACGCAGGTTATGGGGTATACATGACGCAGGTTATAGGGCATACATGGTGCAGGTTATGGGGTATACATGGGCAGGTTATGGGGCATACATGGGCAGGTTATGGGGCATACATGGGCAGGTTATGGGGCATACATGGGCAGGTTATGGGGCATACATGGGCAGGTTATGGGGCATACATGGGCAGGTTATGGGGCATACATGGGCAGGTTATGGGGCATACATGACGCAGGTTATGGGGCATACATGACGCAGGTTATGAGGCATACAAGGCGCAGGTTATAGGGCATACATGGTACAGGTTATAGGGCATACATGGTGCAGGTCAAGGGGCATACATGGTGCAGGTTATAGGGCATACATGGTGCAGGTCAAGGGGCATACATGGTGCAGGTTATAGGGCATACATGGTGCAGGTTATGAGGCATACATGGTGCAGGTTATGGGGTATACATGGTGCAGGTTAAGGGGCATACATGGTGCAGGTTAAGGGGCATACAGAGTGCAGGTTAAGGGGCATACATGGTGCAGGTTAAGGGGCATACATGGTGCAGGTTAAGGGGCATACATGGTGCAGATTATGGGGTATACATGGTGCAGGTTATGGGGCATACATGACGCAGGTTATGGGGCATACATGACGCAGGTTATGAGGCATACAAGGCGCAGGTTATAGGGCATACATGGTACAGGTTATAGGGCATACATGGTGCAGGTTAAGGGGCATACATGGTGCAGGTTATGGGGTATACATGGTGCAGGTCAAGGGGCATACATGGTGCAGGTTATAGGGCATACATGGTGCAGGTTATGAGGCATACATGGTGCAGGTTATGGGGTATACATGGTGCAGGTTAAGGGGCATACATGGTGCAGGTTAAGGGGCATACAGAGTGCAGGTTAAGGGGCATACATGGTGCAGGTTAAGGGGCATACATGGTGCAGGTTAAGGGGCATACATGGTGCAGATTATGGGGTATACATGGTGCAGGTTATGGGGCATACATGACGCAGGTTATGGGGCATACATGACGCAGGTTATGGGGCATACATGACGCAGGTTATAGGGCATACATGACGCAGGTTATGGGGCATACATGACGCAGGTTATGGGGCATACATGACGCAGGTTATGGGGCATACATGACGCAGGTTATGGGGCATACATGACGCAGGTTATAGGGCATACATGACGCAGGTTATAGGGCATACATGGCGCAGGTTATATGGCATACATGACGCCGGTTATGGGGCATACATGACGCAGGTTATAGGGCATACATGACGCAGGTTATAGGGCATACATGGCGCAGGTTATAGGGCATACATGACGTCGGTTATGGGGCATACATGGCGCAGGTTATGGGGCATACATGACGCCGGTTATGGGGCATACATGACGCAGGTTATGAGGCATACATGACGCATGTTATGGGGCATACATGACGCCGGTTATGAGGCATACATGACGCATGTTATGGGGCATACATGACGCCGGTTATGGGGCATACATGACGCATGTTATGGGGCATACATGACGCCGGTTATGGGGCATACATGACGCATGTTATGGGGCATACATGACGCAGGTTATGGGGCATACATGACGCATGTTATGGGGCATACATGACGCCGGTTATGGGGCATACATGGCGCATGTTATGGGGCATACATGACGCAGGTTATGGGGCATACATGATACAGTTTACACACAAAATGTGGTACCAATTTTCAAAAAAATATAGGGAATAGGAGCTTAACTCCATACAAGTATCATTGACAAGCGTCCCCTGTAAAGTACTTGAATGAATAATCAGGTTAAGACTTGTTACACACCTAATGGACATTAGGTATGCAAACAAACACCAACATGGGTTTAGAGAAGGGAAATCATGCCTAATAAACCTGGAATTATATGATAAAGTAACGAGAATAAGGGAGGACAGAGAAGAATGGGCAGACTGCATATTTCTGAACTGCCAAAAAGTCTTTGACACAGTACAACACAGGAGACTGCCATTCAATCTGGAGAGGTAGACGGGAGTAAGAAGAAAGGCCTCAGTTTGGGTAAAGAATTATTTAATTGACAGAAGCCAGAGAGTAACAGTAAGGGGCGAGAAGTCAGACTGGCGAACCGTAAAAGTGGAGTACCTCAAGGATCGGTGCTGGGACCAGTTCTATTTCTAATGTATGTGAACGACATGTCTACAGGAGTAGAGTCCTATATTTCGATGTTCGCGGATGTCGTGAAATTAATGAGAAGGGTTGTGACAGATGAGGATTGAAAGATACTTCAAGAGAACTTGAAGAGGCTGCAGAGATGGTCAGAGAAACGGCTTCTGGAGTTCAACACGAGCAAGTGTAAAGTTATGGAAATGGGACTAGGTGACAGGAGACCAAAGGGTCAGTACACAATGAAGGGAAAACTGTCTTTCTGTGACGATTCGAGAAAGAGACCTGGAAATGGACGTAATACCAAATCTAACTCCTGGGGCACATAGAATCGGTAGCAACGCTATGCTAGCAAAAGTTAGAACGTCATTCAGAAACCTAAATCAGGAGGCATTCAGAGCGCTTTACACTGCCTACGCGATCGAGACGCAGCCTTAGAGTATGCAGCCCCATCATGGAGCCCCCACCTAAAGAAACACATTAGGAAACTGAAAAGGTTCAGTAATTGGTGACGAGGCTAGTCCCGGAGTTGCATGGGATGGGATATAAAGAGCGACTGAAGGAACTGAACCTGGCGACGTTATAAAAAAAAAGGAGGGAGCGGGGAGATATGATTGCAGCATACAAAATATTTAGAGGGAACGACAGAGTGGAAATGGACGAAATGTTCACTCGGAATGCCAGCAAAACACGTGGACATGGGTTGAAGCTGGAAACTCACATGGGTCATAGAGATGTTAGAAAGTTTTCTTTTAGCATGAGAGTAGTGGAGAAATGGAGTGAAGTAAAGGAGCACATTGTAAAAGCAAACACTATTCATAGCTTTAAAACTAGGTATGATAGAGAAGAACAGGGGTCATTGCTTTAAACATCCGAAGGCTATAAAGGCGGGATCCAAGAGCCAACGTTCTATCCTGCAGATACAAATAGGCGAGTACACACACACACACACACACACTGACAAAGAGAGAGAGAGAGAGAGAGAGAGAGAGAGAGAGAGAGAGAGAGAGAGAGAGAGAGAGAGAGAGAGAGAGAGAGAGAGAGAGAGAGAGAGAGAGAGAGAGAGAGAGAGAGAGAGAGAGAGAGAGAGCGATTAAGATCATAAATAATTAATTAAACATAAATAATGACAATTTAAAGGAATTTCGAGAGTAGAAATTCTGTCGGAGCATGTGCAGTGAAAATGCAAATTATTTTCCAAATGAATTATTTAGTTGCATGTTATTTTTAAGAGTGAGGTGCAGAACTACACAGTCTGAAACTGATCTTTTAAACATAGTTTTGGGCATTGTGGTGAAAGATTAATTAAATTAATTAAATTTAATTAATTTAATTAATTAATTAAAGATTAATTAAATTAATCTTAACTGAAGATTAAATCTACTTCCCAGTTGTTCTCCATTGACTCCTTTATCATAATGTGCTCAGAATATGTGGAGTCGGTTCCTCGCCGATGAACAGACAATGGTAATAGAAGAATGTTATACTCCATAGGTAAATCTGTACACAAGAGAGTGTCTGTCTGTCTGTCTGTCTGTCTGTCAGAGGTTGAAGACCAGACGCTTGGGGCTAGCCTCACCCAAGTTTCCAGGATGACGTGTTCAAATGGAGGTATGGGAGTGTTATAAGCCAGTTGGGGTCGGCCTCAGTGCCATCCTTTAAAAAATATCGAAGGCAGCGAAAGATTCAGGCGGAGCTAGTGAAACTTAGGCAGCGAAGGACTCAGGCAGAGCTAGTGAAACTTAGGCAGCGAAGGATTCAGGCGGAGCTAGTGAAACTTAGGCAGCGAAGGACTCAGGCGGAGCTAGTGAAACTTAGGCAGCGAAGGATTCAGGTAGAGCTAGTGAAACTTAGGCAGCGAAGGATTCAGGCGGAGCTAGTGAAACTTAGGCAGTGAAGGATTCAGGCGGAGCTAGTGAAACTTAGGCAGCGAAGGATTCAGGCGGAGCT